CTTTTTATAAACAAAATATCGTCCACACTCTTTTCTAAGTACATTAGTGCACTCTTTGTGCAAAATTGAAAGATGTATAAAATGTGGGGAAGGAGGAGTTCATATTTGAAAAGTAACATGTGACTTCATGTGGATTGCATCAAAGTACACATATACACCCGCTCAGCTTCAGTATTTGCTTAGACTACACCGCGGATTGAAATATGGCATTGATAGTTATATAGGCCAAAATGCCCTAATACGTCACTTCCGCTGAATAGAAAAAAGTAGTATTCAAAAATAAATGTAGTCCCAACACAATTGTGATCATGACGAGTCAGTAAGCTAGTATGTAGGCACAGTTGTGATCTTTTTGCAATGACAACATGCCATTTCTTCTGAAAATGCGTTTATTTGGGTTATCTGAAGGAAAATTTCGAGTCAAGTGGCGTATTAATTTTGCCTTCATTTTTGTGAATTTCAATTTGTGTCTGCAGAGAGAGGGGGTAGTGTCACAATTGACCAATTATTTCAAAAAGTAGATGGTTGGCCCCTATTGAGTTTAGTGTCAAGATGTAGCTTAGACATAGCTTTAGAACCTCAGATAGGCCAGTGAGGCCACATAAATCCATAACTCGAGATAAAAAGTCAGGCGTTTGCCCTTTTGCCCATTGACTAGTATGGTGACGTGAATTAGGGCAGTTTTGCCATAGCTGGTTTTCTGATACATATTTTAAATAAGCTAGTTTTGTAGGATATACGGAGCTAGTTTTGTACGATATACGGAGCTAAAACATGCATGACATACATCATCTACGTCAAACAGAATTTAATTAAACTGTGCATCGAAATCAAAATTGCCAGCATGGTATTCAATAGACTACTTGCAAATTCAAAACAGCATGTCAAAAAATCCAATATCAGAGCTACGCAATGAGGCCTTAATCATATTTATGTCAGCTATCAGAGTTGGCATCTCAGACTGAGTCGTGTCCGGTGTCAGTTCTATTTATTTACTTCATTGTTGTCTGTATCCAAAATAAGTTTTGTCCAACATTTTAGTTTTGAAGGATTAACTATACCTTTAAGTGATAGTAAAAGGCTACCATTGAAAATTGTTTGAAGGAGAAAATATAGGGTGAAAGAATAATCGTGAATAAATTTTAGCAATGTGTTGAGTGATGTAACAGTATACAAACGTATTTTATGGCTTGCGATATGATTGGAAGAAATGGCATTTCTGTAAATATGGCTGCTAGAGAAATAAGGCTTCGAGTTGACGACTCTTTCATTGAATTAAGATATTTTGACATACTTTTTAAATTTGACAATTCGAAAATAATTTTTGATGGATGGTCTTCACATTTTTCAGATTTGTCGGTGATACCCTAAAGTAAAAATTTGTTCGTGTTGTTGAGAAAATACTTGCCAAAATGCGGCCTTTTTTGGGACCCTCGACGCATGTAACCGTGCAGTACTAAAGTATAGCCTATGCCAATGATGTTATATCAGATAAGAGATTTAGTACATGTCACATCGTGAATAACTGATAATTGGGTTATAAAACAAAAATACAAAATAAATAGAGAGATTTCGTACGATTTCGTAACGCACTTGTTGGTCCAATCATCAATACAGGTCAACATGATACTAATGTATAGCACTCATTTTGAATCTATCAGATGGATTCATATTTTTTCATGATTGATGAAATTGATGAAATCATAAAAACATAATATAGAAACATTCGTTAATTATAAAGGCCCATGAAAAAGTTTGAAGCATTTTGGCACATTTTATAATCTTACCCAACGTTACTAAAACGTGATACATGATACTTTTTTTTAATTAAAAAAACTGTTTTTGAAGGATTTTTTGTTTGAAAAATTGTGGACTTTTTTAAATAATTTATTTGTTATCAAAGATATATATTATTAATAATCAATAATTCACATCAATGCATAGCATACGTTCTAAATTAATCTATTCAGAAGATTGGTTGGAAAGCGCGGGAAAGTGGGACAGAGAAAAGTACATTTTAAAATTCAATGGCACAGAGATATTTACAACATTATAAACATTTCTTCATTACTAATATAGGTCATTAAGATTATTTCATATTCAAAGTTAGCATATTTGGAAAATGTTTATTTAGAAAATTGGGAAATTTTAAAAATAATAATTTGTTCACCCTAAATGACATCACTGCGTTGCCTGATGACATCACAATTATTTTAAAAATGCTATAAAATTAAATATATGCGTAAGAAAATATAAAAACGTTGAAATAAGGTAACCTTTACTTACTGTATCTAATGAAATCTAGACAATAGTGTATTTTACAGTATGATGTGTTGTTTTTTATGATAAATAAGCACTTTCGCTTCTTATTTGGCGGGAAATTCAAATATTTGAAAATCAAAATACCAACAAGTTTTTCAAAACAAAAAAATCAATACAACTTTCAAAGTTATGACAAACCATACTTATATTGTTCAACAATACTTTCAAACTTTTGCCGGGACCTTTAACATATCGTCCAATCAAGCACCGATGAGACCTTTATGTACTTGAGGAGTACGCTCGGGTTACGGGAACTTATAAGGAGAGTATTTATTAAGTTTCCTTAAATAAACATACCACTAGAGGATTACCCCTCCCCCTCCAAGAAAATTCCCTCCCCCAAACTTGTTCTTTTCTGTTGCATTATTGCCTGGTCTCATTTTGGCTTTATTTGGACCGGGATTTCAAAATCGTATAATCCCCTACTCAGTTTACACAAAAACATATACCCACGTTCATTTCAATCTACGTAAAAAATGTACTGATACGTGTACATCCTTCCTTGAGTTCTTTTCAAAAAGTGACATTGTTAGATTGTCATGTTTATTATTCCCTGCTAGGAGAACTATAATAGGAAGCTGATGCCCTCCTTGTCTTAACAATATTTTTAAGAGCTTTCTTCACTTAACAAACATTCTACATAACAAGCCGAATCTGAAATCCAAACATCTATTTACCCGGTTATTTGGCTTCCTTTTAACCAAACACATAAAAACTCAGAATTCTTTAAAATTATTCCAATATTGATCAAAACAATGGCAACTGTATCCGACACATCTATCGGATTCAAGACCATATCATCGCGATCGTATCCTCCACATTCTGTTAAAAGAGAGAGAAACCTCAGCTCGGCGTAACAAAACAAGGAAAATTTGACAAGACCCGGGAAGATGGCTCCGAGAGTCAAATTAAAGATGCTATTTTTTGTAGTGTTAGTAGCATGTCAAGCGCAAACAGGTAAAAATCAGTCATTCTTAATATTCAAAGATTTAAAAAAGTAAAAAAACCATAGTATTAGTTCTTCATGTATTTCGATGTTTTTGTGAGCTTTTTATGGAACGCTTTGATGTTTTCTGAGACACTCTCGCTGTATTAAAGAATTGACACCATATTAATAACTTCCTTCCGTTGAAAGCGCGACTGTTTTAAATAGATTTTATTGATAGATTTGGGGTGTATTTTTGTATGACCCTGAAGTGAAGTGTTTTTGATACGTGGGTTGCGTAAGGTAATATTTAATCCGTTTTTACCGCGAGTATCAGAATATCAAAAAAGACCAACTAGCACCGCGTTGCAAATTGAATAAAATTATTGGCAAGTTGAAAAATATGTGTAGATTAGGGGCAATTTACGATGGTTAATAGCAGTTAATCCCCACTTTACACCACTTCACGGAAATTGAAAATACTTGAGTTTTGTTTCATAAGTAAATATTTACCCAGTTAGCATGCACAGTATATAATATTTAGAATTGAATCAGAAGATCTTCTGATGAAAAATAAATAAAAGTACGAGTATAATCATTCAGATACAGCAATCCTATATATTTTGAGTATTATACTCGTACAAACATAATGGCTGAACAAACGGCAAATGACAATAAACAGACAAAAATATGACGCAACTCTGAATATTTAACACAATAGCTTCTTAGGGGAGGCATCAAAAGATCAATGTCTGATAGAAAACTAAATAAATCTAGTTTGGGGGGAGGGGGTCAAAGCTATTTCAGTTTGCTATCCGACAAATTTCAACATTTAAATTTTTCGCAATTTCGACTCGAAATGCCTTGGAATGGTTTAAAAATAAAGACTTTACCAGATGCCTTCTTTACCAAGATGCATGCAACATGGAATATTATGCCTATTGTTGTTGGCACATGTTTTAAGAATCATAAATAAGTTATAGTACTTGCCCCATGAACGTCCAAATTGAGTCGCTAAAACATGTGAAAAGTCTGCGATCAACTTTCATTGTATTTAGTTTTGAGGGGGAGGGGGGGGGGGGGGTCCTACTCAAAACTAGATTTATTTAGTTTCCTATCAGACATTGAACTTTTGATGCCTCCCCTTAGGACTCCTATATTGCTACAATTAAGTTTAAATCGGGAAAGAAATTGAGTGCTACTTGCAAAGTGACTTCGACTCCACATTATGGTGCCGTCTAATAAACGAAATTGATCTTGTATTCCCAGTTCTTTAATCCTTTTGAGGGCCGTGTTCTACCCGCTTGTCACAGTATCTTCATGGATGTGGTGTTTTTGAACAAGGTGTGTAAAAAAGATAAGCCTTGCTTTGACTGTCCAAATGAGGAATACCATTTGGGTCATAGATAAAACGTATTTGGCTATTTTTGATTTCCCCAAAAATATTTTGTTATTTTTGATTATCTCAAAAGGTATTAGGCTTTTTTTGATTTTCCCAAAGGGTATTTGGCTATTTTTGATTTTCCTAATAGGTATATGGCTATTTCTGATTTTCCCAAAATATATTTGGTTATTGTTGATTTTCCCAAAAGGTATTTGGCTATTTTTGATTACCCAAAATGTATTTGGCTATTTTTGATTTTCCCCAAAGTTTGCTTAAGATTGACCAGTAAAATTTGCTACCATATTCATGTAAGATCGATTTTTGATATGTTTTTGTCTCTAAATTATATTTCTGCAAGTAGGTAAACTGATGGCTACTACCCCTGATGATACAACAACAGTGTCTGATTCTGATACCACTGATGGGACAACAGCAATGACTGATGATGAAACCACTGATGGGACAACAACAATGACTAATGACGATACCACTGATGGGACAACAGCAATGACTGATGATGATACCACTGATGGGACAACAGCAATGACTGATGATGAAACCACTGATGTGACAACAACAATGGCTGATGATGATACCACTGATGGGACAACAGCAATGACTGATGATGAAACCACTGATGTGACAACAACAATGGCTGATGATGATACCACTGATGGGACAACAACAATGACCGATGATGATACCACTGATGTGACAACAACAATGGCTGATGATGATACCACTGATGGGACAACAATAGTTACTGATTCAGATACAACTGATGGTACAGCAACAGAGACCGATGCTGATGCCAGTGATGGTACAACAACGGTAACCGATGATGCTACTACTAATGGGACAACAACAGTTACTGATGATGATTCCACTGATGGGACAACAACAGTAACTGATGATGATACCACAGATGGTACAACAACACTAACTGATGAGGATACCTCTGATGGGACAACAACAGTTACTGATGACGATTTGACTGATGGGACAACGCCAGTTTATAATAATGATACCACTGATGGTACAACACCAGTGACTGATTCTGATACAATTGATGGTACAACAACAGAGACTGATTCTGATGCCAGTGATGGTACAACAACGGAGACTGATGATGATACCACTGATGGAACAACAACAGTAACTGATGATGATACCACAGATGGTAAAACAACAGTAACTGATGATGATACCACAGATGGTACAACAACAGTAACTGATGATGATACCACAGATGGCAAAACAACAGTAACTGATGATGATACCACAGATGCTACAACAACAGTAACTGATGGTGATACCACAGATGGTAAAACAACAGTAACTGATGATGATACCACAGATGGTACAACAACAGTAACTGATGATGATACCACAGATGGTACAACAACAGTAACCGATGCTGATGCCACTGATGGTACTACATCTATGACCGATGCTGCTACCACTGATGATACAACTACACTGGCATCAACAACGGTAACAGACAATGCCATAGCTGCTGGTAGGTTCTATCTTGTAAATGTATCTTACCCATACTTCTGTATCTTCAATTTCTAGTACTACTTTAGGATCTCTTATGTATTGCATGTTGTAATGCATGCGTTGGTCCACTTTTGAAAAACATTTTTCAAGGTATCAAGTATATTTTAAAACGCAAATTAAGTTTCATGAAACGCATTGAAAATAATCGAGGGGTCACTTATGTGCTTTCCTTGCTACTTATTCAGAAATTAGGAACCTTCTACGTTTATGATTAATTTATAATCTGAAAATTAGATCTAGAGCATTTGATCGGATAAAAAAGAAAAGGTCAGATAATTTTATGGTTTGAAATAGTTTAAGTGCTTTGACATCAACCATATTCACTATACAGTACTTTCTAGAAACGATATACCAAATGTATCCCAGTGGTGACGAGGAGGGTGATATACGGCTGCGGAATGCGTTAGATACAACATCAGGTGCCATCACCGCCCCAAGGGGAGTCTACTTTGGTCATAGAAAATACAGAAATATATATGTGAGTGACGATAAAATCATCAAATGATATTCACACTTTTTTGTACTTTATATTATAAATAATGCTTTTATTCAGATTAGAATGAGCAAATTTCCAAAATTTTGGGATCAATCTAAAAAAAAATTATCGCCGAACATACACATATAAATCGATCAAAAGCTTTACATATGAGGACTTTGACCAAGGATTAATAGACTTTTGTTTATGTTTTATCATTTCAGGTTTCATCAAACGGATTGATAAGTTTTGGTAGGCCATACATAAATTGGTGGGCCCGGAAGTTTCCACTTGGCAGACGAAATTCAGCTATTCTAGCCTCGTTTTGGGGAGACCATGATACACGCGAAAGTTTGCCTTTATCTGGTGTTTATTATCAGACATATACCAGCGAGGATATCTTTAATGAGAAAGGGCAATTTTTAATCGAAGTTGCGAGTAAAGAAGTGATGAGATATACAAATGTTGCAGATTTTGAGGCAACGTGGATTATGAAAGTAACGTGGAAGGATGTGTTCCCCTATCCATATTACTGCTACAATCCAAATGCTCAATACCGTTCATGGTGCCGGTACCTAAATCGGAAAAACCCTGACGATTCTGAATTTCAGGTAGGCCTATGACAATATAAGTATTGGAAATATATTCTCTCCTCTAGAGAGCAATATCAGGTATGTAAAAGCAAGTAATAAATCACATTTATCATCAAATTTTCATTTATAAAGAATTTTCATTCCTAAAAAATGTTAGATATTGCTAACGACCTAATACCATATCAAATCCCTACTGGTGAATAACCTCTTGTTTATTGCAAGCAATAAAAGGCTTTGCTATTTCATCATTTACACGTCTGCAAATCTCATAACTTCCTCTTAAAGATGTTATTCAAAATGAGTTACATTATAATAATTATACAGGGTGGTCCAAAAAATGGGACACTCGTATTTCGAAAATAGATGCTGATTTTCTTGTTGAAAACATGTCATATTATATACCAGTGGATAGGGAATTTACTCATCTTTAATTTGGTATATCTTAAGTTCAAATTTATTATAATGTCTGTCGACCAGCGTCCATAATCTAAATGACGTCATTTTCGTTTCAAAACGGGTTTTCCAAAACTAGCAAAAACCAAGTTTTATTGTCAACTTTATTTACATAAAGAGATGTTCAATATGTCCACCATTTTGATCAATTATAGCCCTCAATTTTGGCCTAAATTGGTCAGTAGCATCATTGATATGCTGTTGAGACAATGAATTTCACTTCTCAATAATTGTGTCCTTAAGGGGCTGAATAAATCGTAAGGATTTATGGTATACCAATTCTGTCAGTCCTCCCCATACGTCGTAGTCGCAGACGTTGGGTAATCGGGTGATCTTGGAGAGGCAGTGATTAAGGGGGATGAATCTAGGCACATTTTCTTTTAAACATTTGACAGTCCTGAGATCTATTGCTTGGAGCCCCATCTTGTTAGAAAATGTAATGATTCGAAAATGAGCTCATATAAGGATGTTCCAAAACAACATAATTGGATCATCCGATGTTAACATCTGCGACTACCGCATATTTGGAGAACTAACAGAATTGGTTTATCATGAACCCCTTACATTCACCCAGTCGGTCAGTCCCTCAAGGACAGAATTATTAAGTCTAATTCACAGTCTCAACAGCATGTCAATGATGCATTTGACCAGTTTAGGCCAAAATTGAGGGCTATAACTGATCAAAATGGTGGACATATTGAGAGTCTGTTTATGTAAATCAAGTTGATAAAAAAACTTGTTTTTGCAAGTTTCAGAAAACCTGTTTTGAAACTAAAATGACGTCATCTATATTATGGACGCTTGTTGACAGGCATTATAATAAATTTGAACTCATGGTATACCAAATTAAAGATAAGTAAATTCCCTATCTAATGGTATATAATATGACATGTTTTCCTCAAGAAAATCAATATTAATTTTTGAAATTCGAGTGTCCCATTTTTTTGGACCACCCTCTATATAATACCCTTTGCATTCGTTTGACTTCACTTCTTAAAAGAGAGCTTCGTCTTGTAGTTTAACTAGACTCTGCACGCAGGGTATCTATATAATTATCAAAAAAGCATATAACTATTTAACCATGTGATTTCATAGACGGTGAATCACCAGATCGTATTGGTAACTGATGGTATTCGGACATACGCTTTGTTCAACTATGGAAAGATGGCTTGGCGCAGATGGAAAAATGTTAACATCGGCTTTGATGCTGGGGATACCAAAAATTTCTTCAACCATTATTTGTTTCGCGATGATGCTCTTCTAGGCATTGATAACATGAAAGGAAACACTGGTAATCAACCATTCACTTCATTTTACTGGGGTCAACTTCTATGCATTTGTATTTGCTTCATAAATCTGAAATCCCGTTAACCAGCGTAATTTAGTATTTTTAGTGACATGGCTTTAGGTCTTTCTAGGTAATTTTCATATTCTAAGTTGTTCGCCGACAACATTTAATGAGTACAATTGTTTTATTGTAATTTAAAGGTTTGAATGGAAAATGGATATTCCGACTTGATCTAAATGGCGACAACCGGCCAAACTTCGAAAAGAAGTGCGTTTCTTGGGCTGTAAGAGATCGTCGATCCTCACCTCGAAACGTACCTATTTGGTGGAGACGGAGGGATGTCGAGCCTTGTCCCTGCATGGTATGGCAGGCGTGGAGAGACAGGCGGTTTAGAATGAACTGGCGGTCATTTTGTGCTCACCAAAGGTTCCCAAGTCGAGAAGGATATGGCCAGGTATGTCAGCATCACATACATATTTAAGGGACAGTAATTCAAACAGGTCCTTCCGTCGTAAGACAACATAGAACGACATAGCATTGGCTTTATAAAACGATTACTTAAAGGGCTGTAAACTAGTTTTTTTTATAAAATCCAACTTGTTCAAGTGGGCAGACCTTCAAGTTAGTTTAGTTTTAGCATGCGTCGGTCTCAAATAAATGTTAATGCAACACATTGTCAATTAAATCTGCCACCATCCAGTCATGCTGCTACAACAATGATTGGTGGACGAATTGGCGCTCTTGGGGGACGTTGTTGACGGATGTCAGGTACGGGGCGGGACATTTTGAGCGCTATCACTACAGGTCTAATAGAAGAAAGCACAAGCGTAAAGATACCCTTCCCCGGTACTATTGTTGCGAGGCGTCAGATAACTGCAAATTGTTTACCGAGTTAAGACCAGTGGATACATGCCAGGCATACGTGCCTCCTCGTTGGTGTAAGTCTCAAGATTTTGAGTAATTAAGTCCTACTTCGGTAAATAATGATACTAACGTAATGTTGTTTACCACGAGCAATTACATCTTTATGAATTGAGAATCCAAATAATCTCTGTGTTTAAATTATAACATGTAGAATGTGTGTGCGCAGTATATATATATGTATATATTCAAGCTGATCGACAACATTAATGAGATATACATCATGTTCTAGCTTGGTTCTGGGGTGATCCTCACGTTCGTACACTAGATGGCAAGACATACTCATTTAACGGTTTGGGAGAATATTGGTTGATCAAGACCACTGATGACTATTTCACACTCCAAGGGAGAACATCCAAAGCCCTGACATCTAATGGAACTGCAACAAAAGCAACTGTGTTCACAGCATTTGCTGCAAAAGAAGAATCGTCAGATCAATTTTATGTTGAACTTGCAGATAACATGGTTGGTAAGTAGACACTATAAGTAATTAGGGTTTTAATGTATTATAATGGTTTGTTTTATATTCTTAATATGCATATCATCTTTCGACCAATTTCTCAAGGATTACTCTAATTAAACGAACGTGTGTTATAATGATTCTTAATATATTTCATTAAGATATGATTATACGAGTAAACGGAGAGGATGTAACAGATACAGTGGAGCAGTTAGCCAGTGAAGACCCACCAAACACGCTGGATAAAACAAGTCTTAGTTTGGGTGTTGACTCAGATGGAGTAGTTACAGCAGCATTTGCTACTGGTTAGTTGTAAAAAGTATAATAAACTTCAGAACACTTGAAGGACTATAGGAGTACCATAGTTTTGCACTTTTGAACTTTTGAATATTCAAAACTATGTTGTAAGAATATGTCTCTAAAGAACCAGGTAAAATACCTTCAGTTTGGGGACTATACGTACTTCATAGTAGTTCTATTGTCTTTCAATCCACTTTTGAGTTTTTGAATATGTAAAACTATGCTGTAAAAATATGTCTATATAACATGTACGAGGGTTGATCCAAAAGTTCCGAACCGTTTGCTCTAAAAATCTTAATACTTAATGAAAATTGTTCATATTTTGCCACAACCACCCCATATACTGTAGTTTCATTTTGTGTAAAAATAAGCAATAAATTTGACCAGCAACATAGGTATCTGGTTACCATAGTAACACGACAACGGGGTATGTGGAGCAAGAGTACGACATATTGTAGAGGTGGAAAAAAGTTGATTCTAAAAGAGTGTAACAGGGAACCAAATTTCAAATATGTCAGTCATGCCTGCCTATTAATCAATTATTGTTTCAATTTGTCCATATTTCATTGTAAGTTCTTGATTTAATTTCGCAAAAAAGTCTCTTATCCCCTTATATACACTTAGTATATCTGCTGACCCTTTGATCAAACACATCTTTAAATTCACCATCACCTGTCTCAGAAAGCCACTCAAGAACAGCAAGACAGACTTAATTTAATATTCAAAAGCATGTCTTGTCTTGTAAGTACTTCAGGTCACTATAAAGATCAATGTCAGAGGGAGGCAGATATAGTGAGAAGGATGCAAGGGTAAGCCAAGGCATGTGCATATTTTCATTGACGTTTGAGAAAGTATTGAGGTATGGAATTGCGCATTGTCAAAATCGAACTGGATTTTATGCTTTAATTTGATTGCTTTTGGCGCAAGGCATTCTTCTGGTCAATGATGTCATAGTTGCCAACTGTAGCTTGTATGATATCAGATCAAACGTATAGCATTGGTTTAATGAAAGAATAATTGATTAATAGGCATGATTAACAAATTTGAAATACATTTGGTACCCTATATACACCCTTCAAGTGTCAACTTTTTCAACTCTACAATGTGTCATTCTCTTGCTCCACATACCCTGTTGTCATGTTGCTATGGTAACCAGATACCTATGTTACTTGTCAAATTAATTGTTTATTTTTACACAAAATGGAACTACTATATATGGGGTGGTTGAGGCCAAATATGAACAATATTCATAAAATATTAAGATTTTTAGAGCAAACGGTTCGGAACTTTTGGATCAACCCTCGTATAAAGGCCATGTAAAATACCTTCAGTTATGTTACTAGAAACCTCAACGTTTTACAGATGGGCTTGGTAACAATCCACCTTTTGTTTTAGGATTCTCATTGAACGTGTCTGTGTCTGTGAGGAGTTTAAGCATCACAATAACAGCGCCAGTGTTAGTGAATTCTTCAATCACAACAGCAGGTCTCATGGGGACATTCAATGGAAATACGTCAGACGAGTACGCAAAACCGAACGGTGAAGTACTTCCAGAGAACAGCATTGATACAGAAGTCTATCATGACTTTGGAGAGCTATGTAAGGATATTTTCTAAAACACAGTGTACTTGTATTAATCAGTCAAAGAGAGCATAGTAAATCTCAAGTAGATATGGGAAAACAATCAAACAAACTTGTAAATATTTCTATGATTATTAATATAATTTGCAGGGAAGATAACGCAGAACGAGTCGATCTTTTGGTACAGAGATAACGAGACAACCGCGAACTTCTCAAATGCTTCATTTGAGCCACTCTTCTTATCAAACTTCACTGAGGAAGAGCAAAATGAAGCAAACACTAAATGCAACTCGGAAATAGCTTGTGTATTTGACTACCTTGCAACAGGAGATGAGAGCGTAGCGGATGCAACGTTATCAACAGATCTGGTAAATACGGCTGATGCAAAGGTCTCAGGTAAATAGGAGATTATTATAGGCCTTTATCCTATGCCAAGTAGAGTTTTAGGGAGATAAGTTGGCAAGATATATCCCGTATCCTGATTTTGAGGTTTCCATATCCAGAACCTCCATATCTCCCGCCATATCTCCCGCTTCGGTGCATATCTTCCCGCTTCAGTGCATATCTTCCCGCTTCCGGTAAGTAGTGGAAATGCAATAAAATGACTTTGCATATGAATGATTTGTTTATTTTTACACCTTGCTCTATTGAAATGGCCATATGCCCCTAGAAACTCTACTTGGTATAAGATAAAGCAGTTATGTACGGTCGGTTTGGATATTGGGTTCATCCCTCGTGAGATATGCACATCTACCTTCGGTCCCTACGGTCCCTCAGGTAGATATGCATATCTCCCTCTGGATAAACCCCATATCCAAAACCTCCCAGTGCATAACCCTTATTTATCCTATGCCAAGTAGAGTTTTAGGGAGATAAGTTGGCAAGATATATCCAGTATCCTGATTTTGAGGTTTCCATATCCAGAACCTCCATATCTCCCGCCATATCTCCCGCTTCGGTGCATATCTTCCCGCTTCAGTGCATATCTTCCCGCTTCCGGTAAGTAGTGGAAATGCAATAAAATGACTTTGCATATGAATGATATGTTTATTTTTACACCTTGCACTATTGAAATGGCCATATGCCCCTAGAAACTCTACTTGGTATAGGATAAAGCAGTTATGTACGGTCGGTTTGGATATTGGGTTCATCCCTCGTGAGATATGCACATCTACCTTCGGTCCCTACGGTCCCTCAGGTAGATATGCATATCTCCCTCTGGATAAACCCCATATCCAAAACCTCCCAGTACATAACCCTTATTTATCCTATGCCAAGTAGAGTTTTAGGGAGATAAGTTGGCAAGATATATCCAGTATCCTGATTTTGAGGTTTCCATATCCAGAACCTCCATATCTCCCGCCATATCTCCCGCTTCGGTGCATATCTTCCCGCTTCCGGTAAGTAGTGGAAATGCAATAAAATGACTTTGCATATGAATGATTTGTTTATTTTTACACCTTGCACTATTGAAATGGCCATATGCCCCTAGAAACTCTACTTGGTATAGGATAAAGCAGTTATGTACGGTCGGTTTGGATATTGGGTTCATCCCTCGTGAGATATGCACATCTACCTTCAGTCCCTACGGTCCCTCAGGTAGATATGCATATCTCCCTCTGGATAAAATCCATATCCAAAACCTCCCAGTACATAACCCTTATATATTGTAAAACCTGTGTATATTGAACATTTTTGCGGGGAAAAAACGTTCAGTATTTGTAGGTGTTCGCCATAGAGAAGGTAATTTATACAGAAGTCAGTAGAGTACGGATGTCCACTAGAGACATGTGTTCAATGGTTTCCTGTATATAACTAGAGGTGTCAATTAAGAAAATATCAAAAAACAAAAAACACAGGTTGAAGAAAAACTAATTTGAACAGTACAAATGATCAGACAAACAACCCCCAATATCTTAAACCATGATCTAACGTACAATAACGCAGCGTATGGATAAAGTCTAAACTTGGAACACAAAAAATACTTCATTATTTTTTGCTGTAGCCTTTCCTTTATTTCTGTCTTCCAGAGAATGTTGCTCCAAGACTGAGTGTTGAAGCGGTTCAGAACTTTACTGTCGGTTTTGAAACCACATTTGAGGTTTCAGCATTTGATAATGACAGTGACACTGTCTTCATTTTGCTCACATCTTCATTGCCAATTGGAGCACAATTTGACAACCAAAGTGGTTTATTTAACTTTACACCATCAAGCATTACACCATTCAATTTATCGTAAGTATGATGTCATAATACAAACAAGAAACCATAGATTATATTAATAGTGTATACGAATTACTGTAAATAGTTTTACCTTTGAAACTATATGGTTCTCTCTTTGGTTTAACTACCATTCACTTGCTTGGTATATTTAGATGAACTCTGAACTAGTCTTAAAGCTTTACTGGTTCAAAACACCATGAAATATAATTTATTGTTCTCCATTTTAGTTTTATGGCTGAAGATGATTTGGGAGCAAGATCTCCAGAGACTAGACTTGTCATTTGGATATGTTCCAATTGTACGAACGGAAATGGACTGTGCAATTTTGGAACCGAGTCAGAGGAACAGACTGATACAACTGGGTATTTCTATGAAGCGATGTGTGATTGTAATACAGGCTGGGAAGGTAGGTGGATATGGAAACTTTCTAGAATGTTCACAACTATTGCAATGTTAAATAAAAAAAATAAAAAAGATTGACAGGGTTCGATAGGTCAACACTCAAACGGGTGTAAACAAATCCAGACTACAATACAAGGTGTATCTCAGATTGACAACACTAACGTTACAAAGATAGGTCTTGTGATTTTGGCAACTACCATTGTCGAATATATAATTGCACAAATGCCAAAAGGGAAGGGTGACTAAAACCTTTAAGGAAACCCAATAGGAAAAGCAAACTGTAAGTGTAAATCTGTCATAAGAAAAGTAGACCCTATATATCCGAAACCCATGATCTAACGTGAAAAGAAACAATGTCTAACATCCCCCCCCTCCAATCGAGAACCAATATCACAATCCAGGACCAGAACACCAAGGGACATTTCATTCATACTGAAGTCATTACAATACAGAGATGTTTGAGGTTTCACATTTGTTTCATGTATATTTAACGATTTCACAAAATCTTATTGCAGGGGACAATTGTGGAGTTGACATAGATGGTTGTGAAGGTGAACCATGTGGTGAGAGCTCTAACTGCACAGACGTCACACCTTCAGAGCAGCAGATAACTGGCAACTCATTCAACTGCTCACAGTGTCCTGATGGTACTGTCACTGTGGACAATAAGTGTATTGGTAAGTATCTCAAGAAATTTCAGACAAACCCATGATTAACAACAATAAAGGGTTTGCCAAATAGATTTGAATTCTCGTTAAAGTAACGTTTTAATGGGATTTTAAAAGATCTGCGTTTTAATCATTTAAACCAACATTCTATTTGATGACTTATTTGAATTCTGTGTTTAATTTTCTATTTAAACAACTTTGATTTGCACAACTATTTACCATTCCGGATTTTCAATTTTTTGAAAAAGGTCGGACTGAATCCCTGTTGACACAGTGTTGAAAATTTCATTTACTCTTTTAAGGTTCACAATTTTAATCTTAAATCCCAATCAACATGGCAACAAGATGATCATATAGTTACACACCAATCGAGTTTGAATATGCGAATGGATATACTTGATCATGATAAATCAGGAGATTGTGATTTTCTGCCAGCTGTCTCCATATTATCGATGGTATTCTGGTCCTACTAGAATTTTGAAAAACTACATTTACATTGATGTTTGCTCCGTAAAACCATCAATATATTAACTTATGATATTCAATAAATGAATTAAAAGGCTAACATGAATGGGGAATGTACCCGAATGACACATATGCAGTCATTTACAACATTGTATTGCATTTATGGCATTTGGTTTTCTCTACACTTCCAGATATTGACGAGTGTGTCAACGTTACACTAAATGAGTGTCAACAGGAATGCATCAACAAGAAGGGTGGTTATTCCTGCGAATGTCTGCCTGGGTACTCAGCCATCAATACCACACACTGTCAAGGTATAAAAGTAGTAGAACTCTTTCCTGAATTGAGGAAAACACCATTTTGATATGATATATATGTAAAAAGGAATAAATGCCAATGCAGGAGCAAATTATTCATCATATTTAATATATGGTAATATTTACAACCTCCGATCACAGGGCATCAAAATCCAGAATATATTCTTTCTTTTTACCCCTGCGATAAGCAGTTAGCATTTCCCCGATTAAGAACTCGCAATCTGTTTGGCTGTCGCAACACTGCGTTATGAAGTCATTGCGCATAATAAGATCACGTGATTCAGTTTAATCGGGCGCTTCCAAATTGGTTATAGCAGGGGGGAAGAAGGAGGTACGGATTCTGGACACCTGCTTAGGAGGATGTAATATTTACGATACTTGTTGATGAACTCTTTAGAATTAGAGCTTATAATAAATACGTTGAAATTAAACTCCATTGCAAGTGTGATATAAAACCAGGCACAAATGTTCTATTTCCTTTACAGATATCAATGAGTGCATTGAAGCTACAAGTGGATGTGATCAAATCTGTAACAATACTGAGGGTAATTTCACATGTAGCTGCGAGGATGGGTTTACACTTAATGCAGATGGAAAATCATGTCAACGAGGTATACCATACTCCAATAGGTAGAGGTAAATGTGTATGAAGTCGGATAAAGTACACCTGAAATACATTGCATAGTAGCAGATTAAAAGTATTATAAATTGATCTCAAGAATAGGGAGACATAAATCGTATGTATCAGATAAAATCAACAGCTATAGATATATTTCAAAACTGTGTTTGTTGTAGATGTGGCATCGCTTGGACCTTGTCTTGCTGAAGGACTAACATGTGAATATGGATGTAGGAATACGTCAGCTCCACCAGTATGCTTCTGTAAGAATGGATACAACGTCACTGATGCTGAGAACTGTACAAGTAGGTCAACTATAATTGAGTTGTTTTGATAAATCAGGTTCACCAAATTCAAAAAGTGCATTCCAACTCCAAATCGCCAGTTATGTTTTTCTTCATATGATGCTAATGATATACAGAATGAGAAGAATACAACTTAAAATCGACAAAGTCATACCGTTATCATAAAAGTCGGACTGTTTGTGCAAAGATTAATAAACATGAACTACACTTCCCAATATGAAATTATCAGGCGTTCCAAAATTATTCCCTCTAACGGACAATGACTATTTTGATGGATATCCAAGTGAAATCATTTATTTTTGCAGACATCAATGAGTGTGAGTTGGGTATTGATGGCTGTTCTGGAGGGTGCACAGATATGGATGGTAGCTTTAAGTGCAGTTGTGGTGCAGGGTTTCAGTTAGGCAATGATCAGAAGTCATGTCAAGGTAATTTCTGTCAAAGTAAATCAAAAATAAAAATCCTCCAAAACAAATCAGTTGTCACACACCACAGAATATAGATTATTCTTTGGAATGTTTTCGAATTATATTCACGTTTGCTTTCTATTTCAGGCTGTGATTCCATTCACTGGGGCATTGGTTGTGCAAATCTTTGTGAGTGTGGTAGTCGAGCGAGACAATGCAATGCAAGCATTGGTTGTACTGACTGTGTACCAGGTTGGGGAGGAGAGAACTGCGAGGAAGACATAGATGAATGTGCCGCCAACTCTACAATATGTGGTGATAATGCTCAATGTGTAAACAATAATGGGTCGTATGCATGTCTTTGCAATACAGGTTTTCAACAGGATGGTGATATAGTAAGATGTTTAGGTGAGTACAACAAAAAAACATATGCATGGACTCACTGGGTTGCTCAAAACATTAAGATTCAGAAACAAAATTAAGATTTGCAACGAACTCACAATCTTTTCGGATGGATGTTGACCCTCTGATATGCTATGGATACTGAGACTGGATTTTGTCTGTCTAACATCATTTGAGACTGAATGCTCATTTCTAATAATATATTTGACGTAATGAGTATTGGTTATCAATTTAAAATTCTTCAACGTGTATTGTCATGAATTCAGTATGAATGACTTGTCCCGATCCCTTGGTGTTGTGGTCTCGGATTGCGATAATTGTACTCGAATGGTGGGGAAGGGGGTTTTAGACATTGTTTCTTTTCACGTTAGATCATAAATCGGGATGGTTGGTTTGTTTTTCTTATGACTGGTATACCCTTAGATGTTTTCCATTCTTGCATTCCCTTTGGCACTTGGGCATATACTCATATCACTGTAGTACTTCAACTGTGTATTTTACAAAAGGCAACTATTGCCTTTATTCTATACAGCATTTCTTATTACAGTATCAATAATTGGTAAATATTTTCCCCTACTACAGATATAAACGAGTGTGCCACGTTACAACCTTGTGACCCGAATGCTGATTGCACAAACACACAAGGATCTTTTGACTGCACATGCAAATCTGGCTATGATGGCAATGGAACAGAGTGTGAAAACATCAACGAATGCAGCAACGGCATCTGTGGAAACGATGCTGTGTGTACCGATACACCAGGCTCTTATATATGTTCTTGTGGAGCGGGTTGTAAAAAGGTATATTGTGCCTGTTGTTAAAACTTTTATATATTCATTTAACATTTAATCGCCAAAACCTGAATAATGATATACTATGAGATCACATACCCAACTGGAGCAATCCACTTGAACTTTTGTCTGACGAATTTTATGTACTACTCCAGCCAATAGAAGCTAGAGTTAATGTGACGAGAGAAGAAATATCCGGGAATGATATGGAAGTCAGAGTTGAACTCATTGATGGCTTCACTATGCTGAAACATGAAAACATCGATTGGAAGGTATACAGGCATTTTCTTTATTTAATTCACGTTGCCAAGTTGTCTTAATTTGTCATAAGAAAATGGCGAGAATATTGGAAAAAAGGAAATATAAAAAGAAATTCTTAAAATTTTGAAGACAGCTTCTAAAGTCATAGAAAATAGTATTCATCTGGTAGAAAAATATTTTAAAACTTAGCATGACGATGAAAACTCTAATGATCGAATATTGGTTTATTTTGTCCACTCATGTATTGTGATTATGCATATTAAGGGACACACGTGGAATGCTACGATGACACTCCTTAACTCCAACGAAGTATCTGGAACACTCGTTGTCACTGTTTCTCCTGCAACATTCGATGTTAATTCTGGAATTGCGGTAATCAGTGGACGAATAATAGACATTGAAGCACCAACTAGGATATTCCTAGAAATCCATGTTGTGTCCGAACCCTCTGATTACAACTTCACCGTCATATCTCCCTATGTTGATGTTATGCCTGTCGGTTATCAACCCATCTCAGAGGACAACAGAAAGACGATTCAACTGTATTTTGATGCGGATTATGATTCTATTGTTGCTGGAAGAGAAGATCTCTTCATCGCTACTCTGTACAATCACTTCATGCCAAAATACTACAAGAAAGCAAGTTTCACCGGATGGACTACCAGTAAAGGTAATTTGTGTAAAAAGCACCGCTTGATAAAATGAGTCGTTTTTGATTATACTTTATGTAGTACAAGTATGATATTGTATTATGTTGTAGGAAGTATCATTGCTGAGTTCACTGTACAGGGATCAGTCAATGACATCACCAGTGTGCTCTATGACATATATGATGAAGTTGACTCTGGTTTGGAGATATCATTCAACGACTCATCCATCGAGGCAAGACGTGAGATGTTTGTTGATGGAGTGGAATATTACGGCAGAGTTGGATCCCAGGTACGTGTTTATATTTCTTTTTTTATTGTATCTTAATATTCATTGGAGAGCTACAACATATGAGAAACACATCAATAGTAAAGCCACCAATAAACCGATATGTAGAAATAAATCTGTAATGATTAGTGTACCAAATAAATTCATGTTATAAACAATATCCCATAAAATTTACAATTTATTGATAATATGCCATTTTAAATAAGTTTTTAACTTGTGAAAAGTCATGCTCCCCCTGGGGTGTCCTTATCACTATCATGTAAATATGTTTATATGATTTTAATAAATATTTTTGTTTAAAATGTAACGATTGAATATCTGTTTTTCATATTTCATATACTCATTGTAGGTCGCTGGAAGTCCATTGTCCACTGATGGACTGATTGGAATATCTGTCTTTTCATATTTCATATATTCATATTGTAGGTCGCTGGAAGTGCATTGTCCACTGGTGGTCTGATTGGAATATCTGCCTTTTCATATTTCATATATATCATATTGTATGTCGCTGGTAGTACATTGTCCACTGGTGGACAGATTGGAATATCTGTCTTTTCATATTTCATATACTCATTGTAGGTCGCTGGAAGTCCATTGTCCACTGATGGACTGATTGGAATATCTGTCTTTTCATATTTCGTTTATTGTAGGTCGCTGGAAGTGCATTGTCCACTGGTGGACTGATTGGAGTGATTGTTGCAAGTGTGTTGGGTGGTGCTGCTGTTGTCATCGTGGTTGTTATTCTCATTTTGAAGAATAAAGCTAAAGGTGGGTCCTGCTACAACGTGCCATTTAATTCATGTTAATTGAATAATTCTAATGAGATAAAATAATACCGCTTATTGTTTTGCTCCGTTTTAACAAGGAAAGCTAGAGATAAACGCATAGTCTGTCTTAACTTACAATGAATATGGGCCATGTAATACTACTTTTCTCACTATGATTGAGGAGGTTTATTTCCTCATTCAATAGGGAGGTTAAGTTACACGTTTTGAGAGAACCTGTACGTGAGATTGTAATATTTCGACCACCGGGGATTACTGTCTCGCTCTCAATTCACTTTTCCAGGGACCTAATTACAATAATTTTCCGTAAACCTTTACACTGAATCGGCCAAGTAAACAGTACAAATGGGAGAACTAATCCATAGAGGACCATAATTATATACGTTAACCTAAAGGTTTTTTAAACCTGTAGCTTAACCGCCCTTATAATGAGTACGTGTAGTATATTAGGGAGTTTAAGCTTGCAATGTTTTTCACAACCTAAACGTGAACGGAAAATATTTAAGGGATGTATTTGTATGGGCGATTGGTCATACGTATAGGTTGGCGTTTCGATTTCATATGCAAGCTTAAACTCCCTATTGTTAGTATACACTATACAACCGGCAAAATTATGGAAACAGTACTTTTCACGACTCTGACTTGCAGATTCCAAGGTCAGTCCCAGAGAAGAACACAATGATATTCCTACAAATATGAGACAACCCACCACAATTACAGTTCCTGATTCCAAGTGTGTAGATTCAAAGGGTGATGCCAGTGAGGAACAGCATAATGATTTCACAAGTGAAAGACAACAGAGTGACACCAAAGTGGGGAGTCAGTCTAGCGTAGTTTCAATTCAACACAAATAAGCGAAATTGAAATGAAAAACAAACCCACTCCAAGATATAGAAGAAATTCTATGTGGCATTGAACGCTAATGAGATTAAATAACTTTGTATTTTGCGATTTATTAGATTCAAATTGCAATTTTGATAAAGAAACGAAATATATTAAGTTGTGATATATACATGCATCTTGTACATGAGGTACAGCCTAGCTATAACATACCTGTCAAGTAAAAAAAAATCGGGATGTTTTTTAAAGATCGGGAGAAATCGAGATTTTTGAAGAAAATCGGGGTGCACGGGAGAAACTCGGGATTTTTATTAAAAATCGTGAGAAAATCGGAGTGACAAAAGCTAAATCAGCAATTCCAAAAATTCGGGAGAAACCGGGTTTACTAAATCCGTTCATACACAGCTTTTGAGAACGTAGTGAGAACTGGTTTGGTGTGATAGTAGGGTTATCAACAAACTGAGGTTTCACCTCGACCACATTCCGTTTGCGATTCTTAGAACGGAATAGGACGCTCTGAGAACTAGTTTGGTGATATTCTAATATAAGATTAGCTGGGGATTAGTAAGCAGAAAGGGGTTTTCAAAACAAAATTAAAATACGTCCCCATAACACCTAAATAGTACTCTACTGTAGTCATCTTCGTCGGTGGGAATATTGGCTTTGTGTTTAGCAATCCCAAAATGCCATTCTGATTTATTAGTGTCTCTCCTAATCTAAAGCTTGGGATGGCAAGGGGGACTGGTTCCCAAAATGCAAATCGATATGTTCTAACAATGAATGCGATATAGGATGTCGTGGCTTTCAATTTAAATTTTGAATCACGAGTTTTGGTACTATTACAAAACAAAAAATCCACGACACACAAGAATTGATTGAGATATAAGGTCGGATCTTGGATTGATGAATTTGAATTTAGAACCAGTTTAATGTCAGACAATAACGACATTCTGACATTTTCATTGTTGAAAAATAGTGAGTTGCGTCAGTCCACCCATTCCCCTCCTTAAAGACCACGAATAAAAACAGGGTGGGCCAAAAAACCAATGCCCGAGTTTAAGGATGAATATCATATGATATAACGTTAAACCATGTTATGTATTCTTAAGCATTTTCTCAAGGTTGGATCATTAAATCACAAAACTATTTTCTTCTTTTCACAACCTTTATTTTAAACTTCTCAAGACGTTTCGAATCCCATCTGGATCCCTTTTCAGCAGATATGATAAATACTAAAATACTAAACTCTCATTTACCAAAGGCTCGCTGACCTTTGGGAAACCCCTGCATACTTTTTCATATCTTGAGAAGTTTAAAATAAAGGTTGTGAAAAGAAGAAAATAGTTTCATGTTATGTATTGCATATCGTTTTAAAGATAAAATCACATTTAATATGATTTTAATACGTGAAATTATATCTATAAATACAGCACTAAAAATAACAGTACACATGAAGTACATGTATGATTGTGTTCAGAAATGTTTGAAACCCTTACGGAAAATTCTGTCTGCATTTTGTCACTATTGCTCTTTCTTCTCACATTCTAGTGCTGTTTGAATGAATATATTAATTAATGTATCTCTAACTAAAATATATCACTTTTTTTTATAAACCACAAACATTTAGATCATAAAAAAATTATTCAATACTTGAGTGAGCACGGTATGCAAGGGTTACTAAGTTGACACAGTAAATGACCACTGATATTGTGTTAGTCCATGCACACAGCAACACCCCTCACTTTCATAGTGAAGTGACTAATTGGTTTATGTTTACGTTTTAATGTGTTTTGGGTTCCTTGTTACAGCAAGGAGGGCCAGTAAAGTAGACTAACATGTTTGCATGGCAAGTTTTGATCGAATATGTGAGACACTTTGTCAGACAATAACGACATTCCGACATTTTCATTGATGGAAAGTAGCGAGTTGCGTCCCTGGGAGTCAATTCTCCTGATAGAAATGCTCAGTGTACCCCTTCCCCTCCTTAAAGACCACGAATAAAAACAGGGCGAGCCAAAAAACCAATACCCAAGTTAAGGATGAATATCATATGATGTTAAACCATATTATGTATTCTTAAGCATTTTCTTCAGGTTGGATCATTAAATCACAAAACTATTTTCTTCTTTTCACAACCTTTATTTTAAACTTCTCAAGACGTTTCGGATCCCATCTGGATCCTTTTTCAACTGATATAAATTCTAATTATCATGCACGTATCTCTCATTTACCAATGGCCCGTGGGCCTTTGGGAAACCCTTACATACTTTTTCATATCTTGAGAAGTTTAGAATAAAGGTAGTGAAAAGAAGAAAATAGTTTCATGTTATGTATTGCATATCGTTTTAAAGATAAAATCATTTCCTAACAATATGACACCATCTGATTGAAAAACCACTGTTTCCTCGTGGAGTTAGAGGCTAAAATTGACATCTGGGGTGTTATGAGGAACCAAAAATTCCAAATTGTGGAAAATGGAGGTAATATTATCTTTGGCACCTTCAAAAGAGGTACATTTATACAAGTATAGTGCAAAATTCAGCAATAATACATAATTTTATATATTTTTAATTATTATTGTGTAATACTCTTAAATAAATTTATGATGATTCAATCAAGCAAACTGAGTGCAGCTGTGCCTGCAATATAGAGAGAAATTTGGGAATTTTCATTTTTTGATTATTGCTCGCTCACTGACAGTTTTAGTCTCTAGCTCCATGAGAAAACAGAGGGTTTTCAATTGGATGGTGTCATTCTTGTTAGGAAATGATTATCTTTAAAATGATATATAATGCATGGCATGGTTTAACATATACCATATGAATCCTTCATCTTTAAACATGGGTATTGGTTTTTTGGCCCACCCTGTAGATTCAAAACTTCCCCAGAATCAAAAAGTAACCCAGTTAATTGTGTTTATAAGGTTGGGGTATAAAGCTTACCACAAAAGGCATACTATATCCAATATCAAAACAAATTCTTTAAAGAGCTTAACAACAACAACAGCATGTAGTATTATGCCACAATATTTCCAGGGACAATATCAAAATGTATTTTAAAATAGTTAAGTCACATTTACCACTAGCACACGGGCCTTGGGGAAACCCATGCATATGTTCAATAGTATGATTTTACAGCTTCAAATAAGAGCTTAAACTTCAAATTGCTAGAATCTCGGTCTCGGGGTGACTCATTTACTAAAAGTCTCAAAGCTTCTTTTTCAACTTTTTTTTCATGTAGCAAAATATTGAAGGAATATCCATTGTCTCCAGATATGGTAGCTCTAATCATAGAGATACTTTCCATATTAAGCGAAACATGGGAATGCGTTTTGATATCGTCAATGTCAGCGTATTCACTGGTGATCCACTCGATTACGCTGGTTCGTTTCGGTAACAAAATGTCGGCACGTCGAAGGTACGATTTTTCCTTACCGTTTCGGTAACCAGCGTAATCGAGCGGATCACCAGTGGCACTGTTAATTTCAAGTGGGTTGCCATCTCTTTTAAGAGTTCAGACAGGAAGTGAAGTGATATTCCTTTGAAGAACATAGACCTTAGTTGTATTTCTACTTAATGTTGTATTTCTCGTTAAAAGAGATATAAACGAAATTAAGGGAATAAACATTGAAGTTTCAAAAAACAATAATAACTTTTGAGCTGCCCCCTGAAATGTAATCCTCATTTTAAATAGACATGCACGGTGCGTGGGCTTAACTTCATATGTTTTATGTGATTTGAAGTCAGAAACGTATTTGGCAATACACTGTACAACTTGGATATGCATAAAGACTGGCAAGAATTTATACTTTTGAGTTTTCCCCTAAAATAAAAACTTATCTCAGATAACATACACAGTACATGAACACAGTCATCACATTATACGAGTGTAGTATAGTACTTTCAGTGATCGGAAGTCGGGAACATTATTATGCGAATACATAAGTCGGAAATGCGTGGATGAGGTAGGTCTCCATTTTTTGAAAATCTGAGGAATATAGTTATAACAAAATATCTGGTAAGACTGAAATTTAATTTATAAGATCGTAAAATTGGTGACTCGGAATTGGAAGTAGATTCAAATGTTTTATAAAAATTATTTGACGTTCAAACAACAACTTAAATATGCATTCTGATACTCATTGTGTTTTATTGTTTCAAAGATGAGAATAAATGAGATTTCTATAGTTTATCATGATGTAAATTGTATAACAGATCACTGGGGAATCCAGAAGCTAACAAGGGGGGGGGGCAGATTTCAAATTAGCTTGTGCGGAAATTAAATCCAAAAATGGGGCCACGATTTTGAATATTTAAGGCCCATTTTTGATAATTTGGCCCTAAAAAGGCTAGGTAACGTCCAAATAGGCCCACTAATTGAGGCCCTACAAAATTTTGGGGCCAAAATACAAAAATATTTTTTTGGGGTTCATCCAAGGGGGTGCTCCGTGTCTCCCTCTCCTGGATCCGCCAGTACAGGTGACTAAACAAAGCTGGACCATCGTACTCCGAAGAACGAAAGGCTGATTACGAAACCACTGGTTATCCACTCGATTACGTTGGAACCGTTTCGGTAACAAAATGTCGGAACGTCGAAGGTACGATTTTTCTTTTTTCCTTATTTCACACGTTGTAGGCAGAATTCCCACGACATTTTTATCCATAGCCGTAGCCTTTGTTGCGAGGCATTGGAAATTGAAAAAGGTTTAATTTTAGAGTCTACGGGGCACAATGGATATCTTGAGTACCAATTGAGAGTATTCGTGTAGCCATAGAGACCTTTATATGTGTGCCATGATTGAATAAATATTACATTCGTCGAAAATTAATTGCTATTAAATATTCCACTATTCAGTAACTAACTGTAAGTTTATAAGGTCATTATGACCACTCCTCTATTATAAAATGAAATACCAAATAAAAATCTTTTGATTTGGAATCTTTTCAAATCATCATCTTACCTCAGTTTTGAAGTGTGGGAATCGCATGTTTCAGATATTGAACTCTGAAGTCTCAATGAATTAGGAATGAGGATTTCTCCCTAAAATATCTCGTTTTGAAAGATATGTTCCTTAAAGATATGATGGGATTTGCCCTTAAACTCTTGATTTGGATTTCATTAAACAAATGTTATAATTAAAATGTATGATTTTGCCTTCAGATTTCAGGATATCTATTCAGTAAAAGATTCACCGAAAACTATTTTAATATAGAAAATCAAATTGTCTAACTTTTTCAAATTCAATTGTATTTTGCGAAAACAAAATGCAGGTATCGGAGATGATGTCAATTTATTTTTTCCAGCCCTAAAAATAGTTTTTTCTTTACTGTACATATCATTCAAATAAGAATTCAAACATAAGGAGGCTTAAACACTCCGGTTGCCAAACTTTTGGAGGGGATGTAAATTGTATGTACAGGGTGGTCAAATAAAACGGCAACCCTGTCGCTATACTCCCTGATGTGTATATCATTCAATCTCCCACCAGCCTACACTATTTCATGACCAGGTTGATAGTTTAAAGCACTTTAAACAACATGCTCGAAAGCTCAATATTGTGCTTTTGACAAACCTACACCCGCCGTCCAAAAAGTTCTTACCTGGCTTCTACCTGTGGGATATGCCAAAGGTAAAGTGTACAGAAAGGACCTCAGGACAATTACCGACCTCAAAAAGGAGATCATTATTTTCATTCAGGCCATACAATCTACCTACTAAGGATTACAGCTGGGTCATAGACAACTTGTGCAGGTTTTCCTAAGCGCGGTGATGGCCGAACCAGGGGCATGTTGTTTAAAGTGCTGTAACATTGTGATCAATCATAAAATATGGTAGGCTGATAGGAAATTGAATAATGTACAAGTTAGTAAAATATTAGGGAGTAATTCTTTAAAATGACAAAGATACATGTATGAGGAAAATACAGGGTTGCCATTTTTTGACCACCCTGTATGAAAAATACAGAAATGGTGAGGAACCCCAATGTGAGGAACCTCAATAAATGGGGAGATTTGTTGATAACATAAAACATAGAACCCCTAGTCACCGAATCCTGGCTACGCCACTGTTATCACAAACGTGTATCAGTGTCATATGTTAATGTACACATTTGCGAACAAATAGTTGAGAAGACAACGGAATCGTCGATTTAATTCCTCACTTAAGTTACATGAACGGTATTTCGAAAAACAGTTAAGATCTGCACTTTAAACCCCTAACGTTTATGTAACTTAAGTGAGGAATTAAATCGACGATTCTGTTGTCTTCTGAGCTGTTTTTCAAACATGTACATTTTCCAAAAGATATTGATATACGTTTGTGAGAAAAAATGCCGTGGGTATTCTACCTACGACGCGTGAAATAAGGAAAAAAGAAAAATCGTACCTTCGACGTTCCGACATTTTCGTTTCGGTAACCAGCATAATCGAGCGGATCACCAGTGGAAACATGGTTTTAGAACAGTCTTTACTCATTGACAAAAAATGGGATGTTGATTATGGATTATATCTGCATCTGATTAACAATGTTTTGGTTTCTCAACGTTGTCTGATTCACAGCTATGTACTTTCCCTTTGGCAGTTGGAGTACAGGTCAAGGAGTACAGAATTGTTTACTAGATTGTTTCATGATGTGCTGTTCATGAAACGCTAGAAGGATCCATGAAGTCCTATTTGATTGATATTAAAGAGAGAATCAGATATAGCGAGCAGTCCAACAAAAAATTGTTTCAATTTTAGAATATTTCTGGCTCATGTCATTCCTTGTCATGTCTATTTTCTAAAAATCCCAAAAGTGCACACTTTGTTTCAGGAAAAGTAAAGATTTTTACAATAATGTAATGGTTACCATTCATATTAGGGAGAATTTAAATATTTTTCACCCATTTTTACAATTTGAATCTATAAGTACTTCATCAATTTACAACACATCGTGAATCTTTTGGGAGATATTGCAGAGATTGTAAGTCATAGATTGGTAGATCATTTGTACATGTTGCTTGTACTTTTGTCACCCCTATAGATCTGATTCTGCCTTTAATGTCAACAGAAATGTATATAGGAATATAATATCTAATTTATTATTTTACAGTATAGGGTGGTTCAAAGAAATAGTACACTTTTTATTCTCTCTTTAGAGTACAAAAAGTACAACAATTTCCAATAAAATGGTGGACAAACAAGTTAAGGTGTTTACCAGTTTTCTTTCACCTCAATACATATATGTTCCAGTGTGAAAGAAATTATGGTCCCCGTGGATTATGGTTCCCCTTATAAAGGTCCTTACTGGCCCTGATTGTGTATAAGATAATAAGGGAAAGAGGTCACCATATAAATCAATGGAGACAGAGAAAAGGACCATAAATTAATAGGACCTCCTACCCTTTTACACCTGGTTCAATGCAGTCTTAATGCTGTCACCCTTCAGTGACTTGGCTATACTTAGCTGTGTACTGTCCGTCATTCAATACTATAAGTTATTGAATGATTTGAAGTGCAATACAGGATATATTATGTTCGAGAAATTTTGTATTGGAACGAGACGAAGTCGAGTGCCAATACATAATATCGAGACAGAATATATCCTGTAATGCACTTCAAATCAGTATATACATTTACATTTACGAATTGCTTCCATTGGATAGGTTCTAGTAATACTTAATACTGTTTCTAAATTATATCATATTTCTGTAAACTATTAATGCATTTAATGTAAGGTAAACGTATTGGCCATTCGCAAATCAAACTAAACATCCAAACAAACAAACAAACAAACCAATTACAGAAACCGACAGAAACGATTATTTCATCATTTTGTAGATTACAGAACATGATAATTTATTTTCTAATTTCAGAAATGGAGGAACAAAACCATACAGATATTTATGAAGTTGTCAAGGCAACAACTACATTACTATGGCGACAGAAGATGAAAACATACTTTGGCTGTGTAGACATTGCACAAACTGGCTACATCACAAAATCGCATTACAAACAGTTGACCAGTTTTATCAAGGCAAAGTATGATGGACTGCATCAACAAGAATACGACACAATTGATCGCATCTTTATCCAAATTCTATGGGGAGAAGTAGCCACCAGAGGGGGCGATATCAGCAATAATCGGAAAGTGACCTTGACCGAATTCACATGCAACGCCGCAGTGAATTTAAAACCAGAAAATATTGGAGTTTTCACAAAGGTTCTGGATTATATATCCGCATCTATATACCAGTTAATCGATACGGATAGAGCCAAAGAATTATCCGTCGAGGAATTTAGCGAATTCTTTATATTGTTCGGGATTCCGGAACAGTTCTCCCTGAATGCATTTGAATCCATTGATAAGAATGACAGTGGGGATATCGACAAACAAGAGTTCATGAAAGCATTTCGTGACTTCTGGATTGGACAAAAACCCGGATGTGGGACATTCTTTTTAGGCAGATTATTGTGACCCCCACCCTCCCCCCCATCTCAAGCCAGAATCTCAGTAACCTTAAGATAAGAAAACAGACTTCGAGATCAGGTTATTCTCTTTGCTCTAGCAATACTTAGGTCTATCAACTAAAATAATGCGTACAACCTACAGATGTAGGTACATCTAGCTGGGACATTTTCATTTTCAAGCCAAGAGAGAATATATAACAGTTTGAGTTTGGGGCATAAATAAATGAGTAGTCGATTTTCTATCACTATTTCCAAAACATGGTGGTTTGAATTGAAAGCTTCAAATATTGTCTCGATACATATCCCCTGAAATGTGTATATATATATAACATTTTGTATTCTCTCATCCACTGATGTTTGGCTTCTTGAAAATTTTAACATGGGAAATCCTCAATTCAGCAAATCCATGACTAATTATTTATGGCCCAAACTGTAATATTTTTTAATATAGTAGTTTAAAGATTACAAAGATTACAAAGAGCACAAAGATTATGATAATGATATAACATACAAGCTAACAATTTATACTATTCTAATTTAAAATACACAAGCATATTTTATAGTCTCTTTGACTGCAGCGTATCGTTTACACCGATGAACATTCCTAAATCAAAAAAAGCTCAAATAAGGCGATGCTCTTTACAATGCGATGTACATACTTGAAAATTTCTTGCAGTTATATACCTGACTGTAGTCTGGTCGTATATAATAACTAAATATGATAAGTGCATAATAAAAGATGCATAGCTTATGTAGCTATAAGCAAGATATAATAGTACAATAACGTCATATCTAAGGGCGATATAGTGAAATATTGGACCGAGGGCCGAAGGCAATATTGGACCGAGGGCCGAAGGCCCAAGGTCCAATATTTCACTATATTGCTCGCAGAAATGACGTTATTAGTATTATTACCACCGTTAACGACCAGGACTGAAACAGCAAGAAACCTTACGCATTGAACGATATCTAATCTCCCGGGGAAAATTGCCGGTCCAGAATATATTCTAGACCTGTCCATATGGACCACCACTATGACGTCACACATTTCTCAGGTCGATATAGTAAAATAAACGCCTTCTAAACTAGCACTAAAACCCCTAGAACTGTAAACATTATTACCACCTTGCCGGGCCAGTTCTAGGAGTTTTAGTGCTAGTTTAGAAGGCATTCATTTTACTATATCGACCTGAGAAATGCGTGACGTCATAGTGGTGGTCCATATGGACCGGTCTAGAATATATTCTGGACCGGCAATTTTTCCCCGTGAAATTAGATATCGTTCAGTGCGTAAGATTTTCTTGCTATTTCAGCCCTGGTCGTTAACGGTGGTAATAATACTAATAACGTCATTTCTGCGAGCAATATAGTGAAATATTGCCCTTAGACCTTCGGCCCTCGGTCCAATATTTCACTATATTGCCCTTAGAAATGACGTTATTGTACTATTACAGTTACGTCATCTTTTTTTCGTTCAGTGGATTGGATGTAGCGGGCCATAATCATTAACTGGTTAAGAAAGGTGGTAAGAGTGGTTTGATTTTTATCCCTCTTACGCATCACATCTTTCTGTTTTCATCTCGAGAAGAACCTATGCCATGATTTCCTGTTATGTTTGTAGGGGTTTTTCATAGTGGAATTATTCATTCACAGGACCATGTAATGGCTGATATATACAGTAAACACTTTATGAAACATTTATGTCCAAGCTAAGGGCCGGTGTAAAAGGGTTGGAGGTTATGGTCCTACTCTCCATTGATTTAAATGGTGACCTCTTTCCCTAATTATCTTATACACAATCAGGGCCAGCAAGGGCATTTAAAAAGGGGGACCAAAATTCCCGGGGGACCATAATCTATTTCACAGCGGCCCTTTAGGCCCAGGAACATCGTATAAAAATCGAGTCGAATACAGCAAGTAAAGGGTTGAATTGTTTCAATGGGTATAGGAAAATAATTTGGCAACGGGTTCGTTATGCCATTTTGACCAGCTGCTCTCGCTGAACCCCAGCTCAACCACCGAGTCAGATTATGACCGCATTTGCAGCTGCATGATCGAAAATATTTACTAGATTGTTTCACGATGTGCTGTTCATGAAACGCTAGAAGGATCCATGCAGTCATATTTGATTAGTATAATGTCAACAGAAAGGTATATAGGGGGTTATACTATCTAATTTATTATTTTACAATAAAGGGTGGGCCAAGGAAATAGTACCTTTTTATTCGCTCTTTCGAGTAAAAAATGTACAACAATTTCCAACAAAATGGTATCATAGTGGAAAAATAACAAATTAGGTGTTTACCAATTTTCTTTCACCTCAATACATACAGTATTTTTGCCAGGTTCAATGCATTCTCAATGCTGTCACTCTTCAGTGACTTGGCTTTGACTACTTGGCTGTGTACTGTTCGTCATTCAATACATTCAGCATGGGAATACATAACCAGACTATAATTTGACGAAAAGTGGACCTTATTTAGCATGAATAATATCTATATATTGACATAATACACTGGTCAAGCAACACTGAGATGGGTAAATATATATCGAAAATTTGTATATTATAATTTTATTGATTTGTCATTTTGGTAAAAACAAAGGTAACTTAAAAAACGTCAATTTAACAATGATTTATTTCTGTTTTCTTTCGTATATAAATTTACATTTACGAATTGCTTCAATTGGATAGGTTCTAGTAATACTAAATACTGTCTTTAAATATCATATTTCTGTAAACTACATAGGGCATTTTTGCCCCAACCAAAAATTATTTTATTGTAACCATTATGTAACATTACGTAATCCAATACAATTTGTGATATTTTATTGCCTACATCTGCCTTGCTTCTTCTTTTTTTAATATGAATCTACCATATAAATAACTTAATGCATTTAATGTAAGGTCAACGTATTGGCCATTCGCAAAATAAAACTTGATGTCCTCTTGGAAAGATTTCAATTTGTTCATTCGAGTAAAAGGTTGATAACACCGGCTGACCTCGTCAATTGAAATGGTTTAGGACAATTTGTAGGTGCATGCCATTCAAAGTGCAGAATATACTTATAATTGCATATACTAATTCGTACAATCAAACTGAACATTCAAACAAACAAACAAACAAAACAAACAAACAAATAACAGAAACCGTCAGATTATTTCATCATTTTGTAGATTACAGAACATGATGATTTATTTTCTAATTTCAGAAATGGAGGAAGAAAACCATACAGATACTTATGAAGTTGTCAAGGCAACAACCACATTACTATGGCGACAGAAGATGAAAACATACTTTGACTGTGTAGACATTGCACAAACTGGCTTCATCACAAAATCGCACTACAAACAGTTGACCAGTTTTATCAAGGCAAAGTATGATGGACTCCATCAACAAGTATACGACACAATTGATCGCATCTTTATCCAAATTCTATGGGGAGAAGTAGCCACCAGAGGGGGCGATATCAGCAATAATCGAAAAGTGACCTTGACCGAATCATGGGCTTTCAACTAGAAGGGTATGCAACTCTATGTAATAACATGAGACCTTCAAAATGAGCAATGACATGCTTCCCTTTTATGGCAATATTTCAAAAAGTATTAGATAAATGTATATGTTTTAGTATTATTTTGAATAAAAATCAATTTTTAATATGATTAAGCATAAAATATATTCAATATCATATAAAAGTAAACAAAAGAGACCAATAAGAATAAGAGTTATCAAGATGTTCTCTTTGAGTATTGCATTGTGGGTAATTATTCAAGAACACATTCCAATAAAAAGATAATTTGTGGGAGAATGTTCACTTTCTGTATTGTCATAATTAGGATGAATTCCAATTTTTATTAAATTATCAAGATGTATGTAGAAGATCATGTTTTTATTTTTGAGTTATTTCTTTTAATCATCAATAAAAAGTACAAAATAAGATTTTCTTGGAATGTGTACATTCTCCAATTTTGAAAACCCATGGCAATGTTTATGTATGAAATATGGGAAGTTGCCTACCCTTCTAGTTGAAAGCCCATGACCGAATTCACCTGCAACGCCGCAGTGAATTTAAAACCAGAAAATATTGGAGTTTTCACAAAGGTTCTGGATTATATATCCGCATCTATATACCAGTTAATCGATACGGATAGAGACAAAGAGTTATCCGTCGAGGAATTTAGCGAATTCTTTATATTGTTCGGGATTCCGGAACAGTTCTCCCTGAATGCATTTGAATCCATTGATAAGAATGACAGTGGGGATATCGACAAACAAGAGTTCATGAAAGCTAGTCATATAAATCTGACCCTCGTATGATGTTATTTGTTGTTATTTTTTTCTGATTTGGATATTTATTTTTCTTATTTTCTTGCATACTAGGGTCATAAACACTAGCGCTTATATATTGCGGGAATTGCTTTCCTGGCATGTCTACCCGACCAAATTCACACAAATGATAAATTAATTTCTTCGTTTCAACTATAAAGTATTTAATCTTACCTTAGGCACGTAAAACGCTTGGTAATTGAAGAAATATAAGCACGCTGCTAAATTTTAAAATTTTCTCATTTTGCCTACCAAGGTCACTTCCGGGTTAATCTGATAGTCTAGATGTAAAACTATATCAAACGAAATCATAAGTTTTTGTTACACGAATATTCAGTTGAAAGGGAAGCAGTGTCGTTGAGAAGGGAAGTTATTTGGAAAAGTTATTGTTTCAAGATGAGAAAAGTAATAAGTGGCAGAGAACGGCTTTGGAATCGATCTCTGTTTAATAAATAATTATGATTCCGTTTCGATACATGTTATACATTTAGACTACCGGAAACAACATTCAGCAACATGGCGGGCGATAATGAAAATATAATTCAAGTGATTATATTTCGTCAATTATCAAGCGTTTTACAAGTCTAAGGTAAGATTTAACACTTTGATGTTGGAGCTAAATTATTACGTGATAATTTGTGTGACTTTGGTTAGTATGGTAACTATGGTTACCAAGACAGGCCAGAAAAGCGTTTACCTCAATTTGTTCCATATAATATCTACGACCGTGTATGCAAAGAAAATGATAAAAAATAAATATCCAAATAAGAACAAGGAATATCGAAGAACAGCATACAACGGTCGGATTTATATGACTAATGAAAGCATTTCGTGACTTCTGGATTGGCCAAAAACCCGGATGTGGGACTTTCTTTTTAGGCAGATTATTCTGACCCCCGCCCCCGCCATCTCAAGCCAGAATAGAAAACAGACTTCGAGAACGGGTTATTCTCTTCGCTCCAGCAGTACCTAGGTCTATCAACTAAAATAATACGTACAACCTAGGTATAACTAGCTGGGACATTTTTTATTTTTCAAGCCAAGAGACAATATTTAACATTTTGAGTTTGGGGCATAAGTTAATGAGTAGTCGATTTTCTATCACTATTTCCAAAACATGGTGCTTTGAATTGATAGCTTCAAATATTGTCTCGATATACACTACCCTCCATAAGTTTGGAAACTTAGTTTCCCCACTGAACTAATTGCTAAAGCCTCTTTATGTTTGAATTTTTATTTACTTAACCGGCGATGAAACAACTTATAATATTGATGCAAACGTAAATTGACTTTATTTCCAATTCCTCCAAATTTTCTCAATTTTTTCCTTAATTACAATAGGTCGAAAATTGATGATAAATTTGATGAATTTTTGAAAATCGTCAATCCCATGTAATCCAATGGGAAATGGAGGGTTCGGGGCAAATCAGAAATCAGGATATCTTTTCAGTAAAAGATTCAGCAAAAAAAGTTTAATATAGAAAATTGAATTGTCTAACATTTTTTGTTCACTAAAGATTTAGTTTATTTGATGAATACTAAAGTTACAGCGCTTCAAAGTCATTTTTGAAATCATTTTTCGCCTCCTGTGTTATTTCAATGGGAGAGGTTTTTTGAAAAACAATTTTGACGTTAAAGCCCTATAACTTTGTTGAACCTGAAGAGACATATCAATTTTTTGTTAAATAAAGTTTGCAAATTCAATTGTCTACCTAACTCATATTTTTGCAAGGACTCGGATGGATGGATTTTCTGTCATATGACTTGCGGCAAACCTACCATTTCCCATTGGTTAACATGGGAATGTCGATTTTCAAAAAATCATCAAATTTATTATCAATTTTCGACTTATTGTAATTGAGGAAAGAAATTGAGAAAATTTGGACGTATTGGAAGTAAAGTCAAATTGCGTTTCCATCAATAGTATAACTATTTTCATCACAGGTTAAGTAAATAAAAATTCAAAGGTAAAGAGGCTTTAACACGTAGTTCAATGGGGGAGCTAAGGTTGCCAAACTTATGGAGGGGAGTATATCCCCTGAAAGGAGCACGTAGGTTATCGCAAACAATTTCAGAAGGTTATATCTTGGATTATTACTATTTTCTGACAATGAAAACTCAGAGATATTTAACTAGCAATCAACCCATCAATACACTTTTTCAAAGATGTTGACCCCATTTTTACCAAAAATGCAATCATTTTTTTACAATGTTTTACGCATTACTATTCTTTAGTTTGATGTATCAAATAGTAATTGAAAGAAAAACTTAATTGCTTTAAGATAAGTGTTCTCTATGTTATTTCTCCATTGAGAAATGTCATGCTATCCATTGGTTTCAGTTCATTTTGGTCACCCAAATTCAATATCTTTAAAGTCTCTGGAGCAATCAACTTTTCCTTTTAGGAAATCGAACATGTCTCAAAGCACATTCTGATTATGCATTCAACAATATAATAAAAGGTTGCATTTTTGGTGAAAATTAGGTCAACATTTTTGAAAAAGTATGTTGATTGATCCATTGCCCCTTCAATATCACTTCGGTCTGATTAACTAAATTATCATTATATATACTTTTCTTGAAGATAATGAATGGACCTCAAAGATACACCCATGTTCATGATCAGAAAATATTCATAATTCAAGTTAGAATCGTTTGAAATTGTTTGCGATAACCTACGTGCTCCTTTGTACATTTTACATTTTATATACTCTCATCCACTGATGTATGGCTTCTTGAAAATTTAACATGGGAATTCAGCAAATCCATGACTTATTATATATGGCCCAAAATGTAATATTTTTAATATTGTAATTGAAAGTTATAATTACAAAGATTATGATAATGATATTACATACAAACTAGCAACTTACTAGTATACAATTCTGATTCTAAAATACACAAGGATATTTTTTATAGACTCTTTAACTGTAGCGTATCGTTTATACCGATGAACATTCCTAAACTAAAAAAGCTCAAATAAGGCGATGCTCTTTACAATGCGATGTACATACTTGAAATTTCTTGCAGTTATGCACCTGACTGTAGTGTGGTCGTATATAATAACTAAATATGATAAGTGCATCATAAAAGATGCATAGCTCATGTAGCTATAAGCAAAGATATAATAAACATTACAGTTACGTCATCTTTTTTTCGTTCAGTGGATTGGATGTAGCGGGCCATAATCATTAACTGGTTAAGAAAGGTTCGTAAGTGGTTTGATTTTTATCCCTCTTACGCATCACATCTTTCTGTTTTCATCTCGAGAGAAACTTATGTCACGATTTCCTGTATTATGTTTGTAGGGGTTTTTCATAGTGGAATTATTCATTCACAGGACCATGTATAATGGCTTATATATACAGTAAATACTTTATGAAATATTTATGTCATAGCTAAGGGCCGGTGTAAAAGGCTAGGAGGTCCTATTAATTTATGGTCCTACTCTCCATTGATTTATATGGTGACCTCTTTCCCTAATTATCTTATACACAATCAGGGCCAGCAAGGGCATTTAAAAAGGGGGACCAAAATTCCCGGGGACCATAATCTATTTCACACCGGCCCTTTAGGCCCAGGAACATCGTATAAAAATCGAGTCGAATACAGCAAGTGAAGGGTTGAATTGTTTCAGTAGGTATAGAAAATAATTTGGCAATTGGTCCGTTATGCCATTTTGACCAGCTGCTCTCGCTGAACCCCAGCTCAACTCCTGATTCAGAGTGTTTTACGATGACCGCATTACAGCTAGAAAATATAATTGTCTTTGTTTTTGCATAGATAGATGTCACTGTTGGTTGTGTGTACTGTTAGAAAGAAACATGAGGTAACTTCACGGTAATTAGATTTGTCTACACTGCCATCTTTCAATTGATATAAACAATATTTCTATCAGTCCGGGGGAGATCCAGCTATGTTACTATCCAGCTAGGTTTTACAATTGTTTGCCTAGTTTTTGGGATAATTAGTAAATTATGATAAATTGCTTTGTTTATATGGTTACTATCAACGAAGGCAGATTTCTGAACTAACCTTGTCGTTTTATTTGGCGTGATATTGAACAGAAGTGCGTGATTTCTCTAAAATATATTATTATGCGGATAATAATCATATTGAATACATGGCCTCGCCATAAAACAGAAACAAGCAAAAGAAGGGTACAACAAAAAATGAAATTAATGGTATCTTCCAAGATGGACAGTCAGAACTGAAATTCTAGTTTCAACTTTGAATCTAAGATAAGAGATTGAAGGGCCACTTTGCAACATTATATGGAAAAATTAAAAAATAATATTTACCTGCCCTAACTTATGCATATTCCAGAAAGTTAGGTATAATGTGTAGTAAAGATGTGACCTTCTGTGATTTAGGGAGTTTCAGGCACATAATCAGAGGAATTAACATGGCAGAAAAACATCAGAATAATAGAGGTCACAAATATGATAACCAAACTTCAAAACAAACCAAAATATACAAAAGTTAGGGCAGGTACAGTGCTGGTATATATTAATTGATCAGTCGTTTAATTGGCATATTTTCTTGAATTTTAACATTTAATGTCCCAAACTCCCACAAACTGCAGAAAAGTATACCCCATAAATCATATTTACCAAAATGAGTGTCTCCAAGGCTTCACACCAGCGTATGCATAATGCATTTGTCACGAGTTTGAGCTGAAATTTCGCCAAAATGAAGTAGGCTAAGGGTAGTCTCTGCCAGGTTTGTTTATTGTGGTAAGCTTGTACACTCCCCTCCATAAGTTTGGCAACCTTTTTTCCCCATTGAACTATGTGTTAAAGCCTCTTTACGTTTGAATTTTTATTTACTTAACCGGCGATGAAATAACTTATAATATTGATGGAAACGTAACTTGACTTTATTTCCAATACCTCCAAATGTTCTCAATTTTTTTCCTCAATTACAATAGGTCGGAAATTGATGATAAATTTGATGAATTTTTGAAAATCGTCATTCCCATGTAATCCAATGGGAAATGGAGGGTTCGGGGCAAATCAGAAATCAGGATATCTTTTCAGTAAAAGATTCAGCAAAAAAATATTTTTATATAGAAAATTGAATTGTCTAACTTTTTTGAACACTAAGTGTTCAGTTTATTTGATGAATATTAAAGTTACAGCGCTTCAAAGTCACTTTTGAAAATAATTTTTCGCCTCCTGTGTTATTTCAATGGGAGAGGTTTTCTGAAAAACAATTTTGACTTTAAAGCCCTATAACTTTGTTGAACCTGAAGAAACATATCAATTTTTTGTTAAATAAAGTTAGCAAATTCAATTGCCTGTCTAACTTGTATTTTTTGCAAGGACTCGAATGGATGGATATTCTTTCATATGACTTGCGGCAAACCTACCATTTCCCATTGGTTAACATGGGAATGACGATTTTCAAAAATTCATCAAATTTATCATCAATTTTCGACCTATTGTAATTGAGGAAAAAATTGAGAAAATTTTGAGCTATTGGAATTAAAGTCAAATTACGTTTCAATCAATAGTATAAGTATTTTCATCGCAGGTTAAGTAAATAAAAATTCAAAGGTAAAGAGGCTTTAACACGTAGTTCAATGGGGGAAAAAAGGTTGCCAAACTTATGGAGGGGAGTGTAAGTGCTCAGAAGCAACTAATTCATATGCGCAAAATAATCAAATAATCTGATTGGTCTAAACTTTGCTGCACATGCGCACAATGTGTGCCATGTTTTTTTTTCTAGTGATTTCGTTTCGTTTCATGGAGTTTGCGTTTCAGTGTAACTTCCGCAAAAATGGCGTGACATGGACAGAATTAACAGGTAAAATCACTTCGAAATTTCAAGAGAACTTTTTACCTATAATAGCAATCTTTTGTTTTATTTGTGCATTCTATCTATCAGATAAGAGTCTCAGGGGTATGTAGGCAAATTCATTTTGATAGGAGCACTCTGTTTAGTTTGAAAACGCACCCTTAATTATTATATATCAGCACTGTATATTAGTTCAACAAGTTAAACCTAGTCTGGGCCTTATTTCTTATCTGACATTTCTTGTGGCCCGCCCTAGGTTTAACATCCGTGCCTATTCGGCCCTTGATGCAAAAATTTTCAATGATGGCCTATGGTAGCGCATAGAATTCTATGCGGGTTTTATTAATAACTGATTGTGAAAATTTGCAACCAATGAAAGCATAGCACGGAAGTTAAACCCAACCACGGCAACAAGAACACTCAGATTATAAATGAAAGCCGTGGTATTGGGTTTAACTTGTTGAACTACACTGTATATATGTATACGTGTTTTTCATTTTCCACATAATGTTACAGTGTGGTCACCTCACTTATATTCTAGATTCAAAGTTATTACTAGAATGTCGATGTCAATAAAGTTTGTATTTTTCTTATTAGCTTTTTTTCAAATGAGTTAATTCTTACGTGCACACTGTTACACTATCATCATGGTAATAAAACTAAGTTTACATATTAATTGTGCTAATAATCCAACTGCGTAAAGAAATGTTTTTAAAGTTATGCTCATTTGAGCATAAACCTATATAACACACCTTGACTTGTCTGATTGTAATTTCGTGTCACTTGCTCAATGTAGGCAGTTAGAGGTTGGTGTAAGATATAGGGCAATAACATATAGGCACTAACCTTACCTTACGAAGACTTGACTGTAGCTACAAAGAAGATCATTGCGAAGCCTCTGCTGTAACTACGCTAGCATTCGCGACTTCAACCACCAGCTGTCGGCTGACGGATTAACCGCTATTTTAGGGCAAACTCATTTTGATATAAATAGGAATAGGAGCAGGTACTATTCATATTTAAATGAATTGGCTGTACAAACAGGGGTTAATCCGTCAGCCGACAGCCGGCAATTGAATTCGCGAATGTTACTGTATCTAGGACTTTGGGAAATTTTAAAGAAGAGCAACACCTAACGTAAAGAGCACACATTTTTGTATTCACCATCACTATGGCACACTGCATAACAATAAGCCAAGAGGAGTTCAGCACTGAGAAGGGTAAATATTATTTTTTCATTTTTTGGTTGGTTGGCGAAACCTACTATTTTCACATATAAATGAAGACAAAAGTTCATAGATCAGTTTCAGTCAAACTTGGGGATGATTATAGAAGGGTGGCTGACAGATATAGTCAAATAAAACTGTTGTCTTGCCTTAGTTTCCCCCCCCCCTCCCACTCAGACCAAACTATATAGTTCACACCACGTTCTTGAAACGTGTTGACCAACTGGCCAAAACTTTGTGCGAATGGATTGGACGTAAATGATGGTTTCGTTAGCAAATTAGTTGATATTTTTTAATCAACATTTTAAAATTTCGTTGATGGGGGGGGGGGGGGGGTCCATCCCGTTTCACTTCACTCATTCTGATCGTGAACGTGCCTTACTCGCCTGAATCACGTAAATAATTTGAGCACAGTCTTTGCAATACACATAGCAGGACTGAATATACGTGATACATCAAAGAATTACGTTCACTTCTTCTACCGTTCACGACACGCTCACGTTTTCCCCATTGAACTTCGTGTTAAAGCCTATTATTACCACCTTGCAGGGCCTGTTCTAGGGGTTTTAGTACTAGTTGAGAAGGCATTTAAATTGCTATATTGACGTGAGCAATATTGTGTCGGGCGTTAATGACTTTAGTCGGGCAATAATGACATTATCCGCCCGGCTATGTTTCCCGGGAAAAGTGATATCGTTCAGTGCGTAAGATTTTCTATTTCTGCGGCCCTTGGTCCAATATTTCACTATATTGCCCTTTGAAATGACGTTATTGTACTATTAATGTTTGGTGATTTTTCAGTCATATACGTACCCAAAGAAAAGATGCATATGTACTCAAAGAAAGAAAGGAAGAAACAAACAAACAAACAAACAATCAAACAAACAAACAAACAAACAAACAAAACGTCATTCTGTTGCAGTTGACAAAATATAATTGTTCATATTTTTCATTACAGAGATGGAGCAACAAAATAATACTGTTGCATATGGAGTTGTCAAGGGAACAACAACGTTTCTATGGCAACGGAAGATGAAAACCTATTTTGATGCTGTTGTCATTGGACATCCTGGGAAGTACATTACAAGATCGCACTATGAAGAAATAATCTACAGAATCAAAACAAGATATAAGGGACTTTCGAAACGAGCAATTGAAATAATCAATCGCGTCTTCTTGCAAATTCTATGGGGAGAGCCTGTCACAAGAGGGGGTGATGTAGGAAAAAATCGAAAAGTGTCATTGACTGAGTTCACCCGTAATGCTGCAGAAAATTTAAAACCAGAGAATATCGGAACATTTATAGAGGTTTTGGATTATATATCCGCGTCTCTTTTCTGGTTCATTGATGTCGACAAAGATAAAGACATATCACTTGATGAGTTTAACGAGTTTTTCATATTGTTCGGAATCCCCCACCAATTCTCCCAGAATGCATTTGAATCTATAGATGCAGACGACAGCGGCCAAAATGCCCTAATACGTCACTTCCGCTGAATAGAAAAAAGTAGTATTCAAAAATAAATGTAGTCCCAACACAATTGTGATCATGACGAGTCAGTAAGCTAGTATGTAGGCACAGTTGTAATCTTTTTGCAATGGCAACTTTCCATTTCTTCTGAAAATGCGTTTATTTGGGTTATCTGAAAGAAAATTTCGAGTCAAGTGGCGTATTAATTTTGCCTTCATTTTTGTGAATTTCAATTTGTGTCTGCAGAGAGAGGGGGTAGTGTCACAATTGACCAATTATTTCAAAAAGTAGATGATTGGCCCCTATTGAGTTTAGTGTCAAGATGTAGCTTAGACATAGCTTTAGAACCTCAGATAGGCCAGTGAGGCCACATAAATCCATAACTCGAGGTAAAAAGTCAGGCGTTTGCCCTTTTGCCCATTGACTAGTATGGTGACGTGAATTAGGGCAGTTTTGCCTATTAGTCACATGTGAAAGTGACCAAAATTTTTTAAAACTACTCAGAATCGCCCAGAATTGAAGTTTATTAGTGTGAAACATATTTCGGACGGAGGCAAAAAGGGGAATTTTCATGAACAAATTTAATGTTTTTGCTGAATCAGCAGTTTTCGCTTTTTACCCCAAAAACCACTGATTTTGACGATATTTGGCTACAATTTTGTCCTTAGTGACCCCTAAATGTCATTTGTTGTCGTAAATGGGGAAGCCAACGAGTTGCTATCCATCATAAAGATTGGATTTTCCATCTTATGGTTTCCAGTATAGAAAGAAGGTACATATCGGGGGTGCAGTCAGAAATTGGTGAGTTAAGTGTCAATTTTTGATGTATTTGTTCACTCTGAATGACTACATTCGAGCTAAAAAATATCTCAAAAGTCCCAATTCTCTAGGCCAGAGTCAAAACTGATCAAATTTGTCATCATTTTTCAAATCAGGAGGTTGTTGAATGGAATAAAGTATGAAAAAGTGATGATTTTAGTAAGATTTTGCCAAAAAGTGGGCCAAATTTGTCCAATTTTCTGGTTCACGGTTCAGTGATTTTGGCTAAAAATCGCAATATGCAATAAAATACTCAATTTCTTGACACGATACTGAAAAATGTCACCATCAGGCAGTGGATTTCATGATGTAAATGAAAAACTAGTCAAATTTAAAGGAAAACCATTTGGTTCTTGGAAAAATGACCCCAGGGGTAATGAAGTAGCCATATTTTTCATAATTGCCGTCAGAATATTCTTAAACTGCACAAAACTACTTATAAAACTCTAGTAAATTGGAAAAACGCAATTTAAAGCCAGAAATCATCCAACCATGTGGCTATTAGGCCAAAATGCCCTAATACGTCACTTCCGCTGAATAGAAAAAAGTAGTATTCAAAAATAAATGTAGTCCCAACACAATTGTGATCATGACGAGTCAGTAAGCTAGTATGTAGGCACAGTTGTAATCTTTTTGCAATGGCAACTTTCCATTTCTTCTGAAAATGCGTTTATTTGGGTTATCTGAAAGAAAATTTCGAGTCAAGTGGCGTATTAATTTTGCCTTCATTTTTGTGAATTTCAATTTGTGTCTGCAGAGAGAGGGGGTAGTGTCACAATTGACCAATTATTTCAAAAAGTAGATGATTGGCCCCTATTGAGTTTAGTGTCAAGATGTAGCTTAGACATAGCTTTAGAACCTCAGATAGGCCAGTGAGGCCACATAAATCCATAACTCGAGGTAAAAAGTCAGGCGTTTGCCCTTTTGCCCATTGACTAGTATGGTGACGTGAATTAGGGCAGTTTTGCCAGCGGAGAAATCAACAAAGAAGAGTTCATGGATTCATTTCGCGACTTCTGGATTGGCCAAAAACCCGGATGTGGGACATTCTTTTTGGGCAGATTGGTATGACCCGTCCATTTTCCAAAATATTTTCCTACTAGAATGTGACCACTCATGGAACTTGTCTGTGAATACTAAGTGTAGAAAACATCTCAAAACGCCTCTCAAAACGCCTCTCAACATCCTTCACTGCTTTCATAGCAGATCATGTAATGCAATCAATTACTCTTGGGCCAAGGATGCCTCTAAATTATGGCGAACATTTTATTTGGTACGATGGTTGATTAAAGATGTAATGCAATCTTTTGTTATACTGTAGGATATCTTGCATTTCTCCTGTATCTGTGATGCTTTAGTCACGTCGTGATTTTAAGTAACATAGGCTAATCACATGCCTAAATTTTGCAGCATCTGACACACATTATTCAAATACTGACTGTTATATTGGCAATAACACCAAACGAAAGTCCCTGGGAACCAACAAGGGGGGGGAAAACTTCTGGTCTAAGGCCCATTTATGACCAAAAAGGCCCACTTTTTTGGGGACTTAAGGCCTTTTTTGGCTCAAAATTTTTTTGGGCCCATGGCCCCCCCCCCCCCCAGATCCGCCAGTGGAATCATATACATTTTTGATGTTATAGAGGATAGAATTAAGAATCAAAAATAAAGAGACCTCATCATGCTACACAAAGATTCCTTCAGATTTCCATACTTCCGAGGGGTTCAGAGCGGCCCTCGACATCTCGCCCTCGCAGTCGGGTTTCTCCGGGCCATGAGGTCAATATTCAGGGGCGCCCATCGCGAGGGCCACCCGACCCATCCATAGTTTATATGTACTGTATATGTCCTGTAAATATAATATATATTTTATGATAAGTTTTGATGTAAGTATACCCTCAACGGGGACTGGAAACGTTTAATTGTGGAATGGAGCGGAGTATGACATTTTATTTAGAGATATCAAGAATTTCGCCCAATTCATTCATTGACTAAAAACTGCTTAATGTGAAACAAAATACTAATAAACCATTCCATGCGATGTCCAAATCAAACATACTGATACGACGTCAGATACTGTACATCGCGGCATTTTACTGCATTTTTACATGCGTTCTTACTTTTAAAACCGCAATATCTCGACAGCAAAATCATATTTTTCTACAATTTTTCGTCATCAGTTCAACACGTATGTCCATGAAATATTTTGCCTATCAGAATTCCAAATAACTGATTTGGGACTTTTTAAATGCGAATCACGCAAGCCGTATTATGCGACTTTATATGCTAAAACCGGGTGTGGACTGTAACATTTTGAAGAAAAATGATTTCAATTTTAAACGAAAAATGAAGATAACTTTTTCATTTCTTAACGGATCTTTCTCAAACTTTCACAATATTTAAATTCACCATTTTGAAAAAGACAAACAGATTCTGGTTGATGACGTCATAATATAACAATGCTAACTTAACGCTTATATTTATGCAAAAAAAGTGTGGACAGGCAGAATTTCGTACCAACAAGATATATATTTTGATCAATTAAACATTAAATCGTTTGAAAGGTGAATTATTATTTTTTGATTCCTGAAAGGCATATCATATTCTATATTTTTATCAAAAAACTATATCATTTCGATTGAAATTCAGTCTGTAAGAAGCATAAATTGAAAGAAATATGAAGTGAAGCCATGTGAAAAATTCACAAAATTACGTTTCATTTTTTGAGTTCAAATATTTCTAATTAAGGGATAAACATTCAAAACTTTTCAATGTTTCAGCATGTTCTATTAAATATACCCCTTACTACATACAATTAATTTCATTTAATTTGATCCAGTATATATTGAGATAGACATCATTTTATCACCGCAACCCCAAGTGAAGCCTTTACAAAATAAGACGTTATGCCGTTAGCGTATTATATGTTCTCCTTTATTATTCATTGCTTCAAATAAATAAAACTAAATATTCGAGTTAAAATCAATTACAAATTATGCATTTAACAATCCTTAATATCTTCCCGTCTGTGTATATCAGTTGAATATGACAAGGGGCACTTTGAAAGTGTCTAGAAAGACGGTGCGACAACGAGAGCGCGGGGCCGAAAAGCGCGACAAAGAAGAAAACGGGTAGGGTTTGAAATGTCTAGTTTCTGGTGATTCTAATTCTGTATATCGTGATACAACCTTTTTGAATATAGAATTGTATTGAAGCACACATTAATCTGAACAAAACTTGAAGTTTTTAAGAAGATTCCACGAATATTAAAACTTCTGCAATTACTTGGAGGAGCATTGCGCATATTTATCGCGTAAATCTTTGCATTTTGTCGGTAAAATGGACAATTACAATGTTACGCCGTGATGTACAGTATCTGACGTCGTATCACTACTGTTGGAATTCTAGATCTTTTGTAAGCCAATTCTGTTTCAATATGAATATTTTTCTTAAAGGGTTCCGATTAGCATCCCGTATAAAAACAATATGGCGGCTTCAGGCGAATCAACTGGATCAGTCCATTTTTAAGAAATAAGGGGAGTTCTGTAAAATCCAGTTTATTGAAATTGTCTTTGAGATAAAGTAATCCGTTTATAATGATTTTGAAAACGTTATCAAAAGAGTGATTGCGTTCAAAGAATACATGTACAACAGCCAATATAAATCCTTGTATTAGAACTGCTTTGTTTCATTTGTAGGATATTTCATATGCCAAGCTGTGTGCTATTACGTTATGGGGAAATTAAGATGCCAATTTTTCCTTATTATACACAAATAGAAGATCCTGAAACGTCACCCATAAATGTGGAATTGATTTGTCAAAATAAAAATCACCCTTTTATAAATGTGTGACGATCTATAATACACTTATGCTATATAACAGTTAGAGGTGTTGACACAACGACCTCGAACCTGTGAACCCTTGAGTATTATTCCGGGATCGGGCCTTTTATACTAAACGGTGAGCAACACCAGAAACGAGCGTTCGATTTGCTAAACGATATGCGTCACCCTTTAAAGTCCCCGTCTAAAGTTTGAAAATATTTTTTTATCATTCATTTACTATTTGTCATGACTTAAAAAATTATTTTAGAGATTTTTGGAAAAAAAGAATTTTGAAAAAAAATTTGTGAGCATTTCATTTCTGAAATTTTCAAATTTCCCGCCATTTTTTAAAAAAAGTTGAAATTTTTTAATCATCAAATATTTCTTAATGCATTTCAAAAAAGATTATCTTTTTAACGCCAATGCAAAGATTGAATAAAGGACACTCTATTTCAATAATAAAATGCCATATTTAATGCGCCACTTCCATGTTTTAGCATATCAAAAATATTTTGCAACATTAGTGATGTCACTAAGGTATCAAAAACATTTTCGATGTCAATCTTTTCTAAATATGCTAGACTTCAATAATAAACCAATGCTAATTGTCTAACCAGGTTAAAAGAAAGAATATATTATGTTTTAGATATCATTGTACCATTGGTTTCTATGAGAACTAAAATTTTGAAATGCATTTTTCTCGGAACCATTTTCATGCACTGATGAGTTCATTTCTCGCTTATTTATGAACCGATTTTCTTAATTTTTTCGGCAAAAAACATGGGAGGATGAATGCTATGCATTGGTATGAATTGTGGCTAATTAAAATATATGTGTGACCTCTAAAAGTTAGTTTTAATTAAATTCACAAATTTTGGAACAAAAAGTCTATCAAAAACCACTTTTTGGAATTTAAAAAAAAAGTTTCACATATCAAACTTTGATAACATTGGGTAAGACTACAATATAAGCCAAAGTGGTTTAAACTTTAGATGGGGACTTTAATCTGTGCAGACGTCATACACTCAGAAAACTCGTTTTTCTATGACAACGTCAAAACATAATGCTCCAGTTTTTCCCGATATTCGACGTTTCGGTCCATCCCGTGGTTTTTTGGACTTAAATTAGCAAATAGCTTTTTATGATTTGTACATGTAGCTGATGTTTTTGTATTTAATTTTGCATTTTATCATATGTTCACGGTTTAGATGATTTATAGCCCTAGGGATTTGTGTTTCTCCAAGTCTTGCACTTTGTGCTTTCTCGTCACCATGGTGACATCGTGACAACATTTGTTCGTAAATGTTCATTGAAATCAAAATGTTAAAGGCTGGTGGAAATCAATGTTTTAATAATATCTATTGTACCGTCTTCATGTATTTCAAATTACGTAATATGAAAAGTTCATTTTTGTTTAGGAAATGTGATGTGATTTTGATTATATGGTGTTTTTGGACAAAATGAGCAACATTTCGAGGAAAAAATAAAAAGTTCATTTTCTAATCCAGTTACAAAGTAAATAAATACTAAAGATATTACCTCAATTTAACCTTCATTATGAGAGCTTCATTTCCATAATGTAATATCCTTTGACATCCATGGTAGCATAGCAACAGATCAACGTGTGAACTCTGGAACATTTCAACCTTTCCTCAACAAAGTAAATGTGCAGTTAAAAATACCGTTGACTTCCCTTTGAAGCTCTATGAATGAACAAAAATGTCGATTGTGTATGCACGTCAAGTGTGTTTCAGTTTTTACTGATCACTTTTATGATAAATTGGACGAAATATGATATAAAGCTGCATTTAAATAACGATAAACAAAGCATTAACTTGCAAAATGTCACCCCGCCATTTGGTACAGACGCTGACCGCTGAACACCAAACGCCCATCACCGTAAACCGTCCACTAAAAGTTGGAGACTGTATTTTAGCGCGTGCATACGCTAACCAGTGAGATAAAATTGTTTATGCCTCAGTTACATTTGATCGACGGCAACCGTACGGCGGTCATAGCCTCTCAAAATCGAGAGAAACGTGCAGTATATAATATAGGGATTAGCAGTACGATGTAGATTTTCTATATCGATTTTGGCCGCCGTACGGCCATCGTAGGGCAAATGTGACTGAGGCTTACAATGCCTGGTTGCTATCTTGCAGCTGACACTTTAGGCTAAGTTTGCCTTTCTTAATTGCTAGCTTTCTTTACAGGTTTTGGTCCTCTCCCATGGGTCTTGCAGTTTATGAAAATACCTTAAACAAGCATTCGCTCTCCAAACTAACAACACTTGCAAAATTGTAAGCAAGAAAATCAGAAATAAATTAATTTATTTATTTTGACTGAAGTCTCGTGTAGTCTTTTCTAATTTTATTTGTTTATTTATTTACTATAAAAAGTGTGTACATAAAAACTATATGTAATACATGAATACACAGTGACACCATGAGACATAATAGCAAAAAAAGATTCAAGTAAGAAAAAAGAATCAATTACAGTAAATCCTATTTAGATCGAACACCTCTGGCCAAGTGTTTGGTTATTAGCAGGTGTTCACATTTCTAGTTTTTATTAACATGTAAGTCATTAAGAGATAGCAAATTTTGGACGCAGAAAGTTTCACATTGAGAGGTGATCAGATTATAGAGGTGTTCGGATATACAGGTTTCACTGTGGTTAAAATTGTAATATACAAGACTCTATCCCATTGTTGCCTTGTTTAATATAGCAAAAAAGTCTTCAAAATATCTTCACAGGCAATCTAGATCGAAAATAGGGACCTGTCTTGCTCCTGTCCCCATGGAGGTACCATATACAGAGTGTTCCGAAAGTATGGGACTCCAACGTCTAAGTCGTATATCATTTCAAGCTCATCCAAAATTACATTGTTTTGCCAAGTATTATGGTTCAACTGACAAATGGGAGAATGTAACAGGTATTTCAAAAGTTTGGCTAAAATTAAAGTTCAGATCAATGTCCTGGAAACAGCACTGACCTGAATGGGAGTGGGACCGAAAATACGGGTGCCATCGTCAAAGATAGGATGGATTGACTTGGAAAAAGAGATGATGAGGGCAGATACTCCGAGGAAACTCATCTAAAATGACTTACAAATGATTAACGAGGACTACAAAATGCTATACCCCTATTTGAAGTGCGTTTAAGGTAATATCTGAAAAGAATGACTGCCGTTAACATGGCCTAGGGAGACGCATCGACTATTAATTTAGTGTGCAACTAAACTTTAATAAAGTGTTCAACATTTTCCCATTTGTGAGTTGAGCCATGATACTTGGTAAGTCAATGCAACTTTGGATGAGCTTTAAAATGATATACGGCACATGCTCTGGAGATGTTGGCATATGTCTGCCTAGGGGGGGGGGGGGGCATACTTTGGGGACACCCTGTATATGGTAAATCCCTTCTCCAACAAGAGCACATGTTTGTTTGTTTGTTTACATTTACTTTCACTTTCATTTTGACATGTTCTGATTATTCATGGCGTGTTCATTTTTCAAATTCAATTTTTTAAACGTATTCTATTTGAAGTACGCTATATGGACCCATTTAGATATTCATCACTGATAATTCCTGTACATTCGATTAATTAGTTGATTTTGATTTCTTTCCCTATCATTAGATGGTGTTCCTAATTCCAGTGATGTCAGCGTACACATTCTATGAACCAATCAGCGCATCGATCTCGTCTTGGTTGCCAAAGAGTGTTATATACTGTTCGACCTCCATGAGTCGAGAAATTATATCAACATAAATTTGGATTTACTGACAATAATGGAATCTTAACCGTAAAAGTTTACGATCAACAGATAAAGGAAACATATGAGTCGTATTAGAATGATAACATACAGCGGCAAACACTGGATTTAAATAATAAATTAAAGGTTTTGTGTTTGGATTATCGGGAGGGAGTACGCACAAAGGATTAGCCTAGAACCTCTAGCAATATGGCGGATCTCGAAGCAGTGCTCGCGGATGTCTCCTATTTAATGGCTATGGAGAAATCCAAGTCAACTCCAGCCGCTAGAGCAAGCAAGAAAATAATACTACCCGATCCGAGGTAGGTCCCTATGCAATGTTCATGTCCCGATCACCTTGGATATCCAAACAGTCCACCATGTTTTGATTTTGATGTCTGAATTTTCTCTGGAGAAAATTAATTTTCTGGATTGAGCAGACAGATAACCTAGGCAACCCACATTTCTATAGCATTTGATGCTTCGTGTTCATGTGTCATTGCTCGAGGTCTAGAATGTTACAGAAATCACATTTTGATCATAACTTTGACATTTTGTGGTTACTTTTCTTTCCAGTGTGCGAAGTGTTATGCATAAACACTTGGAAAAGATGGGTGAAGTCACCTTCGATAAAATATTCCACCAAAAGTTAGGTGAGTCGCTAATGCTTCTTTGAGTGGTCTGATCTGCTATAAAGTTGAGTTATGATATCCCTCGTTAATTGACAACTGATTTCATAGAGAATCTATATTCACGGAGAAATTTGGGGCCGAGTGCCGAGGGTCAGTTAATTTATGTGATTTTGTTAAAATTTGGGGTCAGTACTTGAAAGTTACTTAACTGAGATGGAACAATCATTCACAAACGTTAAGAACATATAATACCATCAAAAGTCATCGATGTGCCACGCCCACTTTGAGTGAGGTCATGACAAACCCTGATAACCATTATTTTTCAAAAGCTGATTTTTGGCACTAGCTTTATCTGTACTCGCAATGATTCTAGCAATAATTTTCTTCAAGTCACAAAAGTTGAATGTCATGTACTAAATTTATCATAACACAGGTGTTTCATGAGCAGCAGGCAACAGGCGATTTTCACCGGTTGTTTTCACAAAATTGCCTGTTGTTTTTAGGGACTTTTCAACTTTTCCTTGTTAAATTTATGATTCCATTAATTTGCCTGTAATGTTTTCATTTATTTAGCCTGTTGTGAGGAATTCTTGTGATGTTTCAATTCACGAAACCTAAATCTTTAACCTCAAGCTAGATTTGCCAGAATCATATCTTATTAAATGTAATTCAAACCGATCAAAATGTAGTTGAGGTTAGGATGTTTTAAACTCAAAAAATATCTTCAATACATACTGTCTAGTAGACTTTTTTAGATCTGAATGAATGGACATTTTATTGGCTCCTAATGTGTAACATAGCTGATAGTAATGTAAACATTCTAAATTCCAAAACGTTCATTTTTGTGTGTCTTGCTTGAAACATGATTGATCTGTCTTGAAATGACTATAAGGACCATACGACAACTGGACTGACTTGCTATAAGGACCATAAGACAACTGGACTGACTTGTTATGTTTCAATGGCTGCAAAGTCAATTGACAACTGAACCGACTGGCTATGAGGACCATGAGACAACTGAACCGACTGGCTATGATGACCATGAGACAACTGGACTGACTGGCTATGATGACCATGAGACAACTGAACCGACTGGCTATGAGGACCATGAGACAACTGGACTGACTGGCTATTGGGACCATGAGACAACTGGACTGACTAGCTATAAGGACCATTGGCAACTGCTAGCACTACTACGACTAAAAACAACTGGATCATGGATACTGTAATAGCCATAGAAAACTGGATCATGGCTATTAAGACCATGGATAACTGGATCTTGGATACTTAACTGAGACAGTATATAATCATTACCATGGTAACTAGGAGCATATATAACTACATCATAAGGACCATAAGACAACTGGACCATGGTTACTAGGACTGTGGACAACAGTACCATGGATACTGTGCAACCATAGACAACTCTACCATTATAGTAAGACCATGGTTTTTGGATAACTAGACCATGGCTACTAGGGCCATGAATAACTGGACCATGTCTATTGGGACTATTTATATCTGAGCCATTAATAACTACACCATAGAAACAAAGAGCATTGAATTATCTTGGATTTAAGACGTACAATCACGTAATATCAAATGTATAATGCCAGTGGAGTTGCATGTATGAACTTATATCATAATAGAGTTATGATTATTTGAATTTTTTTTTCAGGATTTTTATTATTTAAGGAATTTTGTAACAGTTGCATAGATGAACCCGTTCCGCAACTCAAGTTCTACGAAGAGGTAAGTGACGCAAAAGAGTGATAAGATCATTAATAAAAATGTTCTCTCTGACACAACCCAAAAAACTTTAAATTTTGATGTTTCTGTAGCATACGGATACCATCATCAGAAATATTTTTGCTAACTTTTTTTGATGGTGGTGTCTGTCAGAGAATACTGAAATGTTGAAATTAAAAGTACTAATTTTTTTGGGGTAGTGTAAGAGAGGATATTTAGGATTAAGATCTTTGTTGTTATGATTGTCATGTCTTAAATATTGTGCAAAGGGATATCAAGGACTGTGGTGATCTCCCCAGCATTAAAGCAAGTTTGTACTGCACCCACTTGAGATTTCAATAAAATTGTGCGCCTACCAGAAAATCTGCACCAACTTGAAAAAAGAAAACTCATGAAAATAGGCATATTTTGACCAAATTTTGTGTGAATTGTGAAAATAAGAATTTTGCACCCACTTGAGAAAAATCATGGGGTACAGTATATATGAAAAGCATTTTATAACTTGCTCATTGAAAAATGGCACTTAAAGTGTTTAAGAATAAAAGCCATGACCACCGTGGCATCAACTCTAAAACTAGTTAAATTTGAAATATTGGAGCTTCCTCACATATTTCTTATATACTGTTCTTTTATGTTGATGGGGGCATATTGATTGTATGATTTGGTTGATTAGGATATGTTGATTGTATGATTTGGTTGATTAGGATATGTTGATTGTGCTGTATATGGTTGATTGGGATATGTTGATTGTGCTGTATATGGTTGTTAAGGATATGTTGATTGTGCTATATGTTGATTAAGAGATGTTGATTATGCTGTATATGGTTGATTGGGATATGTTGGTTGTGCTATAGGGTTGATTCAGAGATCACGGTAGACGTTCGCCATTCGTCAATTGCGAATTTTCGAAAGAGGTGGCGAAAAATATGTAAAGGTATTTCGCAGTTATGGCGAATTAGAGGTGTCACGGTTTCCCGATATTGGACCGAATTTCGGTCCAGATGCTTCGGTTCGGGACATGGGACAGAAAGGGTTAATATCGGTACATAGATTCCTTCACTAAAATGCATAAAAACGTGTATAAATAGCGAGGAACACCTCCGATTTCGTTCTGAAATATTTTCACTTACCTCGTACCTAGATTACACTTCTTTGCATTGAAAAGTGTTATTAACGGACCCGCGATTTCAGGTAGATGGTAATGCTTGTTCGTAAATTTCTTCATCGTCGTTCGCAAATCTAGTGCATTATCAGTATGCCGGATGTAGGAAAGAAATTGAAAAATCGAGCCGGCATCTAAGTCGAAAAAGTCGGCAGTTTGGAAGTATTTTGGGACTCCGATATCACAAGGTAAACGAATTGGTAATATTACACCGTGCAGACTATGTGAAATGCCGATCACATTCGCGGCAGATGCTTTACATTCAATTTTAATGGACGTTTTTTTTATTCCTGAATATGATTTTGAAAAGTGAAACTGAAAGTGAAACTGTCATCATCAGACATTTCATCATTTTTAATGTTCTGTCCCGTCCCGTCCCGAAAGTAACGTGTTGAGACCATTTGTACCGTTCCGTATCGTACCGAAATTTTCTTGGACTGTGACACCTCTATTGCGAATTCCCTTTTTTACGGTTTTTCAAAATGGCTAATTCATATTTTGGTTGGCTAAAAATATTTTGGAAGATTTAGCCACAATGGCTAACAAGTTTTTTCAACTATCGTGATCTCTGGTTGATTAGGATATGTTGAATGTGCTATATGTTCATTAAGATATGTCGATTGTGCTGTATATGGTTGATTGGGATATGTTGATTGTGCTGTATATGGTTGATTAGGATATGTTGATTGTGCTATATGTTGATTAAAAGATGTTGATTGTGCTGTATATGGTTGATTGGGATATGTTGGTTGTGCTATAGGGTTGATTAGGATATGTTGATTATGCTATAAGTTGATTGAGCTATGTTGATTGTGCTTTAGTCTTTTAAGATGTGTCAATTATTCTGTTTAGTTGATTTTGAAATGTTGATTGGTGACTGATATGGTGACTGTTATTTATATACTATAGTCTATTTAAAGTGTCGACTGTACTATTTGACTGATAGGGATATTTTGATTGTGCTATGTGATTAATTGTGATGTTTTGATTGTGCTATATGGTTGACTAGATGTATTGATTGTGCTATGTTATGAATATGATATTTTGATCATGCCGTCTGGTTGATTTGGATGTTATCATTGAGATGTTTTGATTATATATGAGACATCTAAAGATTATATGTGAATATTTAAACCTCAACAATGTATTTTTATTATTTTATTTATGTATGTGCTTATAAAGTAAAATATATATTTATGGAACACCATTTGTTCTGGTAAAAGGATTTTGAAAGTGTTACTTACAGATGGTTTCTTTTAAACATTTACTGCACATAAAATATAATTAAAAATAGTCTGTAATAATGTTAATGATATCAGAAAAATATATAACAGTAAAAATTGTTAAATGGAACACCTCCATAGAACACTTTTCAGTCCTGTGACCTTTGACTTAATAGCATGTACCTCTGTAAGTAGATACCTCCACAAGTGGAACACTTTGAAATCCTTTGACTCTCCGTGTTAAGGGTAATAACTATGCAAGTCTAACACCTTCCCCAATGGATCACTTTTAGGGGTGTACCCTTCACAAAAGTTTAACTGTATAATTTCTTGTCAGAAACTTGTAGTACTGTAGTGTTATTTGACATAAAGAAGACATAATCTTCTTTGCTTGTTTATTGTCTCTAGTCAATTGAAGGTATCCTAACGACCATGTGTCTTACACATATATTTGATTAACCAATCAATATAACAGTAGAAGACTCGAGAGTATTTAATTAGTGCATTAAATGTTCACTCTAGTGTCCAACAGCTATATCTGTATTAAGTTACTAAATCTAAGTTTGTGCCATAATCTTTTAATCTCTTTTATTTATATTCATCAATTAAATATTTAGAGTTGTAATTAAACATTTTTGGCTATATGCTATGGTAAAGGTTGGTTGATATATATTGGGTATATAATACAAATGTGAAATTAAAAATACTGTAACTGACTAAAGATTCCCTAAGTCTACATAAGTCTAGTGTAGGTATTGCAGAATATTGTCGCATATTATTATTTAAACATTGATTTTCTGAGCATATCATATTATACTTAGATAGACACGATGTTCATTGGATTTAGAAATTGATAGTGATGATTTCTTTTCATTAAATGAGAAAAGAAGGAGAAACTATTCCTGCTATTTGATGTTCGATTTAGATTTGAAATACCCTTCGAGCAGAGTCTTGTTAATATTATCCTCTACCTTATATAGACTGTATTAAAGTTTAGCAGCTTCGCCCCAAGACAAGTGCCCATGACAGTCCGGGTCATAATTTTTCTCAACCAATCAGCGAGCTGGAAGGAACACGTACTAACTGCTTGATGATTAACAATACAATGACATCAGAGAAAATGACCATATATAGAATGTCATATATCAACCCCGAAATCTGATTTGCTCAGTGAGTTCAGAGATTCATTGTAAACTGAAAGAGTGAAGATGAAGCTCTCTTTTAAGAAACAAAGTCGAACTAATGCAAAGGGTAGATTTGGAAGTACATGTCTCCAACACCTGGCAAGAATTCTTCCGAAAGATCAGGAACAGTTAGATGTAGATGTAATATCTTGATTCTATGTATATAGAGTACCATTAATAGTATGTATCGCATCTATATTGCATCTATTGATTTCTTTACATCGTTCATGCAGTCTAGCAATTGAGTAGACATACGTAGCCTATAATCTTTTTACTGATATGGTATTACAGTAAAACCTTCTTTCTAAACACCACACACTAGCAATGGGTATATACGAGATAGATATACGTGGTAAATGGGTTAGGACCAATTTTTGGCTTAAAGTTATTGCAGACTCATGATTATTCTCATTAATTATGTGAAGTATATCATCTCTTATGATTTGAGAAACTAAAAATGTCGGATTTAGAATTTCGATAGCATAATTGTTGAAAAATAGAGGTATAGTAAGATATGTCAAATCTAAACACCATAGGGGCTGGCGAAAAATGCTCAAAGCAAGGTAATTTCCACATTTAGAAGTGTTCAAATTTGATAGGTGTTGAATATAGATTTTACTGTTGGTGTTTGTTTATATGGTATAGAAAAACATATATGGGACACGTGCATTGAAATTGATGTCCAGAGAAAAAAGTGCAACAGAAAATATATTCTCTGTATTTTGTCATTACGATATGTTTATAATAGGTTGTTTTCACAAGGGCTAATAGAGGCCTTAACTCAACAAGGCAAAACTGTGTTTTTTAAGGGCAGAAGTGTTATTTAAGGTCAGCCTTACCTGAGTGCATTCAAAATAAAAACATATTGGCAGTAATCTGCTTTCTCTCTTTCTCTCTCATGTTTCAGTATCGTGGAATGAAAATTAATTTTTGAATTAATAAAGTTAATTGTATGTTGCAGTAATGAAATTGGAAATTTTTGATTTTGTTGATCTTTGTTGGAGGCATGTTAAGATGAATATTTATCTTCCTGGACAGAGTTTTGGTTTAGTTTCGTACAGTTAAAAGAAATTGCTTAAAGGTATTTGTTTAACTATTTAAAGTGTCTATTGACATCCACACTCCACAGACATGTGTCCTTGGAACACAAGGCTCCAGATTTCATCCACTACTTTCCTTCCTTCTTGTACAAATTCTGGAGGCCTCAGTATTTGGAGGTTGATAGACTTGATGCTT